GAAGGGTCTTGAGACGGGCCTTGAAGGAGGAGAGGGAGGAAGTGAGGTAAAGGGTCTGTGGGATGGAGTTCCAAAGATGTGCAGCTCTTTAAATAGACAGTAAATGCAATGATTAATGAGAAAACATCAATTAGTTCAAAGGTTTCAATTGTGCTAATTTTATGACCTGAATCTCTTTTAAATAACTTAATGTATTACAGATTATTATACCCAACATGGAATGTACATTACAGCAACAGAGGACATGAAACGAGGAAAGAGAAGAGAAAATAATTCTATATAAACATGAAACTTCTGTGCCTGTGTTTGGCTGAACGGTCAATTTCCATAATGATTTTGCTCCAGTTTTTGGTTTCTCTTTCACTGCTGCTTCTTTTTTTTTCAATTCTGTTTCATAATACTTTATAACAACAATCCTTGCATTTGTCATAGCGCCTCATCACATCATTGAGACGTCTCAAAGCGCTTCACAGAATAGACTGTAAAGTGAATTGACTGTCCATTTTGTGGGCGAAACGCGACAGCAAATCGTGCACAGCAGCGTCCCACAAACAGTCGTGGATTGAGTGTCCAAATTATTATTTTATTGAAGGGATTATTACCCCCTGGAAAGCGATCCACCAATCGACTGACAACCGGGTTCCTACTTACTGCTGGTAAACAGATGCATGTGGAGTAAGGAAACTTGCCCATGGTTTCACCCTGCCCAGGAATCGAACCCCAGGTCCTCTCACTTAGAACCCCAGAACTTTATAACTCCCTTCTTATCCTTATTGTTGGTAACGACATGAAGTGTTTTGGGGGATGTCAGCATTGGAGACGAGTGATGTCAAAGCCTGAAACATAACTCTTCCACTTTCAGTATCCAGTCCTGGGTATTAAGGTCCATCAGGTCAGCCCCACCTTATCCTGATGCAGAGTAAAGCTCCTTTTACTGCAATAATAATGTACTTTACACCCAACCTCAGAGCAGCACTTACTGCCTTGTGGAGTCCTGTAGCTCAGTGGTTAAAGCCCTCACCTTGTAAGTGAGAGGACCTGGGTCCAATTCCCGGGCAGGGCAAAAAGTTGGGCAAATTTCCTTACTCCACACGCCTCGGTTTACCAGTAGGAACCCGGTCGTTAGTCAATTGGCAGATCGCATTTCTGGGGGTAATAATTCCTTCAAAAAAATTAATAATAATAAATTGGTCATTTCATTCCACGGCTGTTTGTAGGACACTGCGGTGCGCAATTGGCTGCCACGTGTCACCCACAAAATATACAGTCAATTCACTTCACAGTATATTCTGTGAAGCGCTTTGAGACGTCTCGAAGACGTGATAACAACAACAACAAAATTACATTTGTATAGGTAAAGTACTAAACCAAATGCAAGGATTATTTCTTTAATTTGTTTTTTTCGATTTCAGTATAGCAGTGAGTGAGATGGAGTAAAGACAGACAGGAACCTATTTTCTCGGTGCCCAACCCTGCAACACATCTTCCCTGTTAGTTGAACAGGTATGAGAGGCAGACTGTGTGGAAAAGTACTAAACTCCTCCGAAGGCATGTGGCTGTGAAGTCACTCCCTGACTCATACACCAGCTTCTCTAGACAGCTTCTCCTTTCCAATCCATCAATTCTGTCCATTTAAAAAANTATATTCTTAAGGACATCCCTTTACTATTACTTTAGAGAATATATAGTGTAGATCGGGAGAAACTGTTTCCTCTGGTGGGTGGGTCGGTAACCAGAGGCCACAGATAATTGGCAAAAGAACCAGAGGGGACCAGGAGAAATGTTTTAACTCAGAGAGTTACAGTCTGGAATGTATGACCTGAAAGGCTGATGGAAACAGATTCAGTGATAGCTTTCAAAAGGGAATTGGGCAGGGACTTGAAAAGGAAAAATGTGCAGAGCTCTGGGGTAAGAGCGGGGCAGTGGGTCTGGTTGGGGTAAGAGCGGGGGAGTGGGACTAGTTGGGGTAAGAGTGGGGGAGTGGGGACTAGTTGGGGTAAGAGCGGGGGAGTGGGACCAGTTGGTGGCTCTTTCAAAGAGCCGGCACAGGCTCGATGGGCTGAATGGCCTCCTTCTGTGTTGCAAGAACATACTAATTTGCCAGACGAAACAGGACCAAGGTCCATCTAGTTTGCCTTCCACCATCCTGGCAGTCGTTGACAAGTCGTGTCCCAAACTATTAATGTATCCCAAGATATTATTTTCTCGCAGAAATCTGTCTAATTTGTTCTTGAAACACTTCCTGTTTCCACCGTCTCTCTAGGGAGCCGTACTGTAACTTTACTACTCTAATAATCCTTACATTTGATATGTCAGCTTATCATGTTGTCGAGCCATCTCAAGCGCTTCACAGTATACACTGTAAAGTGTAGTGACTGTGTATTATTTGGGCGAAACGCAGCAGCCAATTGCGCAGATCAGTGTCACACAAACAGTCGTGGGTTGAGTGGCCAAATATGTTTTTTTTTGAAGGGATGATTGTCCCGGGAAAGCGATCTGCCAATCGACTAAGAACTGGGTTCGGACTTACTGCGAAGTAAACAGAGGCCTGTGGAAACTTGCCTCACCCTGAATCAGTCCGCAAGTCCTATGAATGCAAGTGGTTGTTTACTTCCTGGGACTATCCCCAAAGCGTTGAACCCAACACAATTACAGTGTTTTGGAAAAGCATTAATTTGCACGCTCAGGTAGATGGCAAAGGTTGCACCGAATGGGGTTAACAGTCAGACCTGCCGTTAGCAGTGAGTGACTACTAACCTTTGTGTTCCTGTCATTCAGAAAGTTATCAGATCTCTCTGTCACGTTCGGGCACCACCCTGTTAACAGGATTCTCAGGTTTCAGTGTGTTGCAGAAACTATTTTCGCAGCGGTTATTGTAAGATGTTAAAACATGTGTCACAAGGTTAAAAAAAAAGTCTGTTTTGGTCGCCCTCTACCATGAACGTTTTGTTGTTAGAAAGAAAGAGAGTGAGAGAGAGGGGGGGGGAGGGAGAGAGAGTAGAAGAGCATGAATTGTCAACATGTGTTGGCATATTCCCTATAGAAGTGCAAAGGTATGTTGTGGTTAGTTACGCAATCACAAACTAAACACAGAACTGCCTGGTGATCCCCAGCGCTGGAGCAAACAACAAACCAGAATAACCTGTACCTCGGCTACTGGCAACACCCACATTTGGCCGCTGCTGTTGCCCTCAGCTTTTCCTCGTATGGAACAGAACAAATATTTTGCCCACAAATATACAGTCAATTCACTGTACAGCATATTCTGTGAAGCGCTTTGAGACGTTGAGAAGACGTGATAAGGCGCTGTATCAAATGCAAGCATTAAAAAAACAAGAATGTTGCTCCACATGCCGAGGTTTAGGTGAAAACCGTTCCTCTCCTTGGAAGCAAACTCTTCCCCCCTCCCCCCCACCATACACGACTGCTTAAGGACAACTCTTGCCCAATAAATAGCTACTGTCCAACACAGTCACACACTGCACATCTCACGTACACTCTTGAGTGCAAGTTTAGTCCTGTAGCATTGTGGTTAGAGCACTCACCCCACAAGCGAGAGGACCCGGGTTCAATTCCCAGGCAGAGCGAAACCCACTCTACCAGTCAACTAACAACCGGGTTCCTACTGACTGCCGGTAAGCAGAGGCGTGAGGAGTAAGGAAACTTGCCTAAGGTTTTGCCCTGACCGGGAGTCGAACCCAGGTCCTCTCGCTTGCGAGGCGAGGGCTCTAACCACTGAGCTACAGGACTCCACGATTCCGAAATAAATTTTATATAACTCATAATTTGCATAAGTCAGATTAAATGTATGATCCCAACTGGTTTACTGCACTTCCCTTTTGCAGTACAGGAGGGGTCGGACATGTCAAGTCTGCACCCAGTAAACACACCTTCGTTCTAAACAGTTTCATGTTCAGCCTTACTCCGTCATCGCACTTCAAGTGTGGAGCGCAACTTCCTCACTCTCTCTCTCTGTTCCCTATTTTGCTGTTATTTGCTCTCTCTGCCTAGTTTGTCATTAGCATTTTTCGAAGAAACTCTCCAATCTTACCCATTTGTTTCTCTGAAGAATTTGCAAATCATTTGAAAAACACATGCAGTCAGGGGTGGGGAGGTCTTGTCAGTGTCTGTTCTGCAGCTGCAGTTTTTGTTAAGTACACGGAAGGCCCACATTACAGACAGCATTACGCTTTATTGCTTTGTTACAGTATTTAGCTAAAGCGCTTACTTACACGATGTGATAAGCTATAAATCATCAAATTCAGATTTTTACAAAAAAACTTTACAGTATATTAAGCATGCCATCTCAGAAATAAGTACGTCTGAGTTTACAGCGTATTCCGTGAAGCACTTTGAGACGTCTCAATGATGTGATTAGGTGCTTTATCAAATAATAATAGTAATAATCCTTGCATCTGATATAGCCCCTTATCACGTTATCGAGACGTCTCAAAGCGCTTCACAGGATATACTGTAAACTGAATTGACTGTGTATTTTGTGAAACGCGGCGGCCATTTGCGCACAGCAGCGTCCCACACACAGTCGTGGATTGAGTGACCGCATTTTAAAAAAAATATGATTAAATTGATAAGCTTATAAATCAGCAAATTCTGATTTTAATTAAGAATGTACAATATTTTACACGGATTGGTTTGAGGCTCGCCTTACACACCAGAAATAAGTTAAAGCGCTGTCGGAAATCAGCCTTGGAAATTAATTGCAAGAGGTTGCTGTACACGTACTGTACAATCAGCAACAGATTTGGACTTGATAAGCCCGTGACTGCACAGTGTGGGGCTGTGATAGGCCACTCGGCACTTCACCTCAGTCACAAATGACTGTTCTGTTGTGAAACAGTCAATTGGATCGGAGCAGTGAACAGTAAGGTTTTACAAGAGGTGTCAAACGTTCCTCAGCAAAGCTGCAGAACTATTCTCCTTACAGACCCAACAAGAACTATTCTCCTTTACAAAACTACAAATAACTATTCTCGTTACAGAATCACCTATGTTGAATTGACTGACTGACCAAAATCATGAGCGCAGAGGAGTGGAGAATTGGGAAGGTAATATAATGTGCTGTGTGTGTGTGTTATTAATGTAATATAATGTGCTGTGTGGTGTGTGTTATTAATGTAATATAATGTGCTGTGTGTGTGTATAATATTAATGTAATGTGCTGTGTGTGTGTGTGGGGGGTGGTGTTATTAATGTAATATTGTGCTGTGTGTGTGGGGGGGTGTTATTAATGTAATGTAATGTGCTGTGTGTGTGTGGGGGGGTGTTATTAATGTAATATTGTGCTGTGTGTGTGTGTGTGGGTGTTATTAATGTAATATTGTGCTGTGTGTGTGTGTGTATGATATTAATGTAATATAATGTGCTGTGTGTGTGTGGGGGGGTGGTGTTATTAATGTAATATTGTGCTGTGTGTGGGGGGGTGTTATTAATGTAATGTAATGTGCTGTGTGTGTGGGGGGGTGTTATTAATGTAATATTGTGCTGTGTGTGTGGGTGTTATTAATGTAATATTGTGCTGTGTGTGTGTATGATATTAATGTAATATAATGTGCTGTGTGTGTGCGTGTGCTTTATTATATTTTAAATGTTTTGCAGGAATAACCTTATGATTTGATCATTCACATTTAAGCTGCGGCACAAATACAAAGAGCAAAAGCAGGTCTGAGGGTAACATTGGCAAACAGAATGCTACCTGTAAGGTTACATTGAGGCTGTGCGAGTCAGTCAGTCAGTCAGTCAGAGAAGTTAGTTAGTTAGTTAGTTAGTTAGTTAGCTGTTAACACAATGGATCTGCCTAAAAGCAACACAGAGGCCATGTGTAACTTAATTGAATGCAAAATGCAACGATTTAATTCTGGTCCTCAAAGGAATTTACATTCAAATATTTCATCTTTTTAAAAATGTAATTTACCATTTGAAAGAATATTGCTGCTCAGTTATTACGTACTTTTTTTGCTCAGCCATATGTCTCAAACATGTGGAAACCCATCGCCGTTGCTCAAGAGGCTCCAAACCAGCGGAGAATTCCACACCTCCCCCCGACACATGGAAATCCCAGAGAGAGATTGTTGGAATGGAATGCGCTCTCTCTCTCTCTCTCTCTCCCCCGAGGGACACATCCTGTTTACTTAATTCCAGAGAGTATTAGGCACAGGTTGGCGAGAGCCAAGGCTTGGGGGGAGCCCAGAGTGTGCGTTGGGGTAACTGCTAACCAGATAAACCCACTAGTCTTGCCATTGAGAGCACTGTCTGGCTGCTTTCCCGCTGCTTGTCCAGCCAGGACCCCCCTCCCCGTTAGTTAGGGCTTTGGCTGTGGGGTTACCAGGAGCTGAGGGGGAGGATTCCCGGCCCCCAGTGACTGGTCGGCCCTTCCAGGTCCTGCTGATGAGTCGGACCGGACTGTGCTGCCATCAGCAGTGAGTGCCCTGGGACACTATTGTATTGTATCCTTGAAGTAGGTACAATAAGGAAATAACCTCGATTTAGTTTCCTGGCAATTAGAGGTGAAAATCTTATTAAAAGATGTCAATAAAGTGCTGTGAGTTTAAACTACGTTATATAACTAAAAGGGAAAAAAGCATTCCTGAGATACAATAGCATTCCTTGCTTTTTTTTATAATAATAATAAGCTCATTTGATACCTGGAGAAACTCCTTTTATTTTAATAACTTGCAGTTATACAGTCCTGTACACGGGGTAGTGTCTTGGAGTGCTTAGAAATAATAAGCATAGTAGTAATAATCCTGGGATTTGATACAGCGCCTTATCATGTCATCGAGACGTCTCAAAGCGCTTCACAGGATATACTGTACAGTGAATTGACTGTATTCACTTTGTGGGCGAAACGCAGCAGCTAATTGCGCACAGCAGCGTCCCACACACAGTCATGGATTGAGTTGCAAAATTATTATTAATTTATTTATTTAAAATGAAGGAATTATTACCCCCAGAAAAGTAATCCGCCAATCGACTAACAACCGCGTTCTACTTACTGCTTTAAACAGAGGCGTGTGGGCTAAGGAAACCTGCCTAAGGTTTCACCCTAACTGGGAATCAAACCCGGATAATCTTGAATCCAAAATCGAGGGAATCCGCTCAGCTGCCTCTGCCATGGCAACTACTACCCCCTCCCCATCTCCTCCTCCCACCCCAGCCCCTACCCACCCCTCCCTCCACACCTTTCAACATGTCTCCTCCTCCTCTCTCATCACCACCATAACCTGTATGAAACCCACCACCTGCTCCCTCAACTCCATCCCTACCCCCTCCTTACCTCCGAGCTCCACCTCCTTGCCCCTCTACTCACTGACATTGTTAACCTCTCCCTGTCCACTGGTGCTGTTCCCACCCCTTTAAAAACCGCTGTCATCACTCCTATCCTTAAAAACCCCTCCCTGGACCCTTCTCTACTCTCTAACTATCGCCCCATCTCCAACTTACCTTTCCTCTCCAAGATCCTAGAACTAGTTGTTGCTTCTCAGCTTCGCTCCTTCCTCTCCCTCCTCTCCCTTCTACCATCCTGTTTGCTCCCTCTGCTCAGCGGGCTCTGGCCTGCTTTGTGTCCCCTGCCTCGCTCGCCCTACTATAGGCGGCTGGGCTTTCCGCCACTCTGTGCCCACCTTCTGGAACTCCATCCCGCAGTCCCTATGCCTCGCTCCCTCCTTCGCCACCTTCAAGACCCACCTCAAGACTCTCTTCTTCGATCGTGCTTTTGATCTGCCTGCTTCCCCCCCCCCGCCCTCCCCCTCCCACACCCCGACCCTCAGCTCGGGTCTGCAACTCTGTCTGTCAATGCCTTGGGACGTCCTCCCGACGTTAAAAGGCGCTATACAAATGTAATTTTGTTGTTATTGTTATGTGGGGCTTGAAACCCACACCTTCCATCTCAAGGTGACCAGTAATTTGATCACTCAATCCACGACTGTTTGTGGGACGCTGCTGTGTGCAATTGGCTGCTGTGTTTTGCCCACAAAATACAGTCAATTCACTTTGCAGTATATGCTGTGAAGCGCTTTGAGAAGTCTCGATGACGTGATGAGGCGCTGTATCAAATGCCAGGATTATTATTATTATTATTAAGCGGTGAGTTATTTTGGGCAGAATCTCACTCACTGCTGTGGCCTCTCTAATAACTCGCTCAAGTACCTGTTCTGCGTGTATCAGCTGTTTAACAGTGTGTTTCATCAGAATATTTAATGTGACACAGCCTCGCCCACACACTCATAGAGCCGCAGGACAGTGATTAGAAGCAGAAACTATTGATATCACTCCCCTCTCTAGCCCAGGGCTGTATAGCCAAACCATAGCACAGAGATCAGAGGTAACAACAACAAATTACATTTACACAGCGCCCTTCACATGGGGCAGCGTCCTGGAGCACTTAACAGTGGTGGAGTCTGACCCTGAGCCAGCGGGAGAGGGAGGGAGGGGGTGACTGTGAGCACCATCAAGAAGGAAGGTCATTAGGTGGGATTTGAAGGTGGGGAGGGAGAGGGTAAGGCGGAGGACGTCACAGGGGTTCAACACCCCCCCCCACTCCCTTCCCCTCCCCCCCTTCAACTTGGACGCTGAACATTCAAGAACTTGTATGTTTTTTTAAATCCCACTCGTGCTGTAACTGAACAACATTTCTATGATTTGTAATTGGGTATAAATCTAGCACTGTTTTTTTTAATTTTGTTCTGAGTCAGGGTAATTTGCCCCAAAGGTGTAAACCGCTAACAAGATTTTTTGCAGTGAGGAAATATGAAAAGTATTTTCATATATTATATTATATTGTTATGTTATTGTATATATCTTCTCTGTTGTTTTTCAGACTGAACGCACCAATATGAGTTCCCTCAGTTTGCCTGGAAACATAAGACGTGGTGGCTCGGATACAAACCTCAACCTCACTGTGACGGACGGATTCCTGGACTTTCAAAGAGAGAGACTCAGCGCTGAACAACTCAAGCAAAAGGTGCTGAAGATCACGGAGCAGATCAGGATCGAGCAGGTGACCCGAGATGACAATGTGGCCGAGTACCTGAAGCTGGTGAATAATGCCGACAAGCAACAGTCCAGGCGCATCAAACAGGTGTTTGAGAAGAAGAACCAGAAGTCAGCCCACACCATCACCCAACTGCAGAAGAAACTCGAACACTACCACAAGAAGATGAAGGATGTGGAGCAGAACGGACCCAAAACTTCCAAGGAGTCTCTGAAGGACAGCCCGAACATGGTGAGGGACATTAACAGCAATGCCCGGCCTGGGTCCGGGGCTGGTATCTTGGAGGGAGGGAAAGGGGTGCCAGGGGTCACTCTGACACCCCCCACCTACGTCTTCAACAAGTCCCGGGAGTTCGCCAACCTCATACGCAACAAGTTTGGCAGCGCTGATAACATCTCACACTTGAAGACCTCCTCGATGGATGACTTTCGGAGGGATGGTGGGTCCAGGACATTGGGTGGAAGTGCCACGCTGGTGTCCAAGGACAAGTACCTGAGCGATGAGGATGACGACTGCTCCAATGGCAGTGCTTCTGGGGACAGTAATGGCAACTCGGATTTCGGACTTGCAGCCACAGGAAGCCCCAAGTCAAGCACACTCGAAAGAGAGCAGGGCAAGCTGTCCACCATATTTGATGAACTCAAAGAGATTAAAGACGCACAAACCCAGCTGTCAGACGATATTGAAAAGCTCAAAGTTCAATTTAAGCGGGATTACGCCTTGATTACTCAAGCTTTGCAAGAGGAACGTTACAGGTAACCACTTGCTCAGTAAGGGATTTGACATCTGGGATTTCCCGCACCCTTTGCTTTCAGATTATTCTGCTGAGACTTCAGATCCTAACAATCCTGGCATTTGACACAGCGCCTTATCACGTGGTTGACACATCTCAAAGCGCTTCACAGATTACACTGTAAAGTGAATTGAGACGTCAGCCAACTGGGCACAGCAGCGTCCCACAAACAGTCGTGGATTAAGTGACCAAATTATTATTATTTTTTTTTGAAGGGATCATTACTCCCGGAAACGTGATCCGCAGTTCGACTAGTAACCGAGTTTCTACTTACTGCTGATTAAACGGAGGCGTGTGCGAGGAGTAAGGAAACTTGGCCGTATTGTCTTGCTCGGGAATCGAAACCAGGGCTTCTCGCTTGCGAGGCGAGTGCTCTAACCACTACCCATCTCCACAACGCTATATAAACGTTAGCTGTTGATCCTCAGAAAAATTCTTTCCTGTTTAAAAAGAAGAGGAACTGATCAAAACTGAATCTGAAAGCTTCGTGACATACACTCTAACGTTTCTAATAATAAATAGTGAAGGGTTTTGCCCTTTTGCATTCGAAGCGCGTGAATGCTGAAACTCGGAGATGCAGTGACTGGGAGAAAAGAAAGATCAAAACTTTCTATATTAGTAAGAATGCAGCAAAGTACTGAACAATGTAATTCAAAGGGCTTTTTTTGTGTGGGTGGTAACAGAACAATGGACTTGATTTGAAGATGATAGACATTGATATTGATTCACTGTCACACTAACTAACATTAGTCTGTAGTTAAGCATTCGTTCTGGCTTGTCAATGCAATTAGTACTGATAGTGAATAAGCCTCATCCTTTGGAAAGCTGCCTCCTTGGCTCACAATCTAAAGGCAATCTTTCTATGACTAACTGACTGTTTACATGTCCAACATCTTCATTAGGCGTTGACCTTGATTTTAATATCAACAACATCAAAATAGCTTTTGAGACGGTGTTGTGTTTAGCTTGAAGAAATTCCCCCAAACTATAAGAGAGAGGAATACAGATTGTTCTTGTTTTGTTTTGACATAATTTATTTGGTTTTGTATCCTACTTTTCATATATTTTATATAGGAACAGGAGTAGACCATTCAGCCCCTCGAACCTGTTCTGCCATTCTATCAGATCATGGTGAGAGGACCCGGGTTCGATTCCTGGTCCGGGCGAAACCTTAGGCAACTTTCCTTAGGCAGTAAGTAGTAGGAACCCACTTGTTAGTCAATTGGCAGATCTCTTTCCGGGGGTAATAATCCCTCGAAAAAAAACAAAAAAATTGGGCCAATCGCCCACAAAATACACAGTCACTACACTTTACAAGATATTCTGTGAAGCGCTTTGAGACGTCTCGAAGACGTGGTGAGGCGCTGTATCAAATGCAAGGATTATTATTATTATTAATGTTTTGCCAATCTTATTTCTGGCTCATTAACAGGATTTGGATGGGCAGATATTTCACTAGAGACAGATGTTTCCTGACTCCACACGTCTCTGTTCACTCAGCAATAAGTAGGAGCCGGTTGTTAGTTGATAGGCGGATCACTTTCCAAGGCTAATAATCCTCAAAGACAACGTGATCTCTCAACCCACGGCTGTTTGTGGGACAGACGCTGCTGTGCACAATTGACTGCTACGTTTCGCCCACAAAATACAGTCAATTCACTTTACAGTGTGTCCTGTGAAGCGCTTTGAGATGTCTCGATGATATGATGGGGAACTACATCAAATGCAAGGATCATTATTATTATTTTCACGGGGATTGTTGACGGGATTTCCCCGGGAGAAATTCCCTTGTCTTAACCCTTTCACGGTTTGCCTCACAACAGATGTTAAGCTAATTGATCTGAAATTCATAACTTCGTGTTAACCAATATTTTGGAAGAAAAATAAGGTACAGGATCGATCTGAATCCCAAATTAATTACATTTCTGCAATAATACTGTCCCTACATCATCTTTTTCTCCTGTCTATCCCTCGCTATTGAATGTAATTACAAAGAACTCTGATATAAATTCTCTGCTTCCATTGTGCCACAGAAATTGAATCATAACGACAAAAGCACAAGACATCACTGAACAAGAAAGAATAGGTCTTTAAGTCGATAAAGCACTTTCCTTTATGTACCGAGCGCAGTGCACTCCATCACTGCCAATTGAATCCTCTTCTTGTTTTGAAGAACATAGTAACCGGAGGAGGCCATTCAGCCCCTTGAGCCTGTTCCGCCATTCTGTTAGGTCAGGGCTGATCTGCACCTCAACTCCTAGAAAAATGATGGTGTGGGATGGGAAGCGCTTTGAGGCGTCTCAACGACGTATTAAGGCGCTATATCAAATACAAGGATTATTATTATTATTATTTCCAAGCCATTAATGTACTGTGCTGAGCAGGACTTGTACATGCAATGTGGACGTGAAACACCAGATGGAGCTTTATTAAAGGTTAACAGTTTAAACTCGACCTAAACACAAACCACATTTGTTTTGTAGTTCAGTGCATTCCCCTGAAGTAAAGGTTAAAGCTGTATTTTCCCTAATTCAATAGACAAGTTATTTTGATTACAAATCGGGCAGCACCATAAGCTTATCATAACCACAAGAAGTCCTGTAGCTCAGGGGTTAGAGCCCTCGTCTCACAAGCGAGAGGACCTGGGTTTGATTCCCGGGCAGAGCAAAACCTTAGGCAAGTTTCCTTACTCCACACACCTGTTTACCAGCAGTCAGTAGGAACCCGGTTAATAATAATAATAATCCTTGCATTTGATATAGCGCTTTTCACGTCGGGAGGACGTCCCAAAGCGCTTCACAGAACACACTGTAAAGTGAATTGACTGTATATTTATGGGCGAACGCGGCAGCCAATTGCGCACAGCAATGTCCCACAAACAGTCGTGGATTGAAAATGACCAATTTATTATTGTTTTGGTTTTGGAGGATTATTATTAGGCTCTGTGTGGAGTAAGGAAACTTGCCCAAGGTTTCGCCCTCTGCCTGGAATTGAACTCGGGTCTCTCGCTTGCAAAGCGAGTGCTCTAACCACTGAGCTACAGGTCGATTGGCGGAACACTTTTCTGGGAGTAATAATCCCTTCAAAGAATTAAAGTAAATAATAAAAAAAATTGGTCTCTCAATCCACGGCTGTTTGGGGGACACTGCTGTGCGCAATTGGCCCACAAATATACAGTCAATCCACTTTACAGTGTATTCTGTGAAGCGCTTCAAGGCGTCTCGAAGACGCGATAAGGCGCTGTATCAAATGGAAGAATTATTATTATTATTTTATTTTCAGATCCAAGCATTTGGAAGACCAACTGAATGATCTGACGGAGCTTCACCAGCACGAGACGATCGACCTGAAGCAGGAACTCGCTAGCATTGAAGAGAAAGTGACTTATCAATCTTACGAGAGAGCTCGAGACATTCAAGTATGTGTTTTTAATTGGTGAATTTATTCATAACTTCGGATTGCATCTGGAGTACTGTAGGGTAATGTGAAGTCCTGCAGTGTAGTGTTTAGCTACAGAGAAACTAGTTCCTCTGGTGGGGAATCCAGAACAAGGAGGGCATCATCTTAAAATTAGAGCCGGGCCATTTCGGGGTGAAATCAGGGGCAGTTTTTCACCCAAAGGGGAGTGGGAATCTGGAGTTCAAGGGGGAGTTGAAAATAAGGAGTTCAAATTCATCACCAACATTCTCGGTTCCCTTTCCCAGAGCCCAGTTGCTGTCGGTGAAACAGCTTGCGCTGGTTTTGTGTGTTTGTTCCCCTTGGGGCAGTGTCCACAAGCTTGCCACCGCTTCCTCCTCACACAGGAGCATAATGTACCTGAGAGAGAGCGAGCGAGCGAGAGAGAGAGAGAGAGAGAGAGGGGATTTGCCACCCACCACAGCGGAACTAATCGTTCATTTCAAACGAAATAAGAATTAGCGAACATTTAAATACATGTACCATGTCAATGTTATTTCATCGTTAGGTGCCAGCCCGGCTTAATCCTCTTCTTGTTTTAAAGAACATAGTAACCGGAGGAGGCCATTCAGCCCCTTGAGCCTGTTCCGCCATTCTGTTAGATCAGGGCTTTAAACACCAGACGGAGCTTTATTAAAGGTTAACAGTTTAAACTCAACCTAAACACAAACCACATTTGTTTTGTAGTTCAGTGCATTCCCCTGAAGTAAAGGTTAAAGCTGTATTTTCCCAAATCGGGCAGCACCATACGCTTATCATAACCACAAGAGGTCCTGTAGCTCAGTGGTTAGAGCCTCGCCTCGCAAGCGAGAGGACCTGGGTTTGATTCCCGGGCAGAGCAAAACCTTAGGCAAGTTTCCTTACTCCACACGCCAGGGGAGGGGGAGGAGCTGGGGGGGGGGAAGGTGACCAAAGGTGCCGTCGAAAAGAAAGGTCTTCAGCCGAGACCTGAAAATGGGAAGAGAGGGAGCGAGGGGAAGGGAGTGAGGAAGGCGGTTCCAGGGCCTCGGGGCATAGTGGCTGAAGGCACGGCCACCGAGGGGGGAGTGGAGGACTCGGGGGACGAGGAGGAGGTCAGACCCAGAGTTCCAAAGTTTCGGGGTGTAGTGGCTGAAAGCCCGGCTGCTGACGATGGAGCGGAGAGGACGAGGGACAAATAGGAGTGGAGTGGGGAGAAAGCAGCTTCACCTCTCAGTCAGAAGTTTCTTTTCTTCTTAAAATCTTCTCTTGTGTCGCACGTTGTCAAACCTCTGCAGGCGTGTCCACTAACAAGAAGCCTGTTTGTTTGTGTTTGTGTTTGTGTTTGTGTTGGGGGACAGGAAGCCCTGGAATCGTGTCAGACTCGAATCGCCACGTTAGAGCTCCATCATCAGCAGCAGCAAGTGGTGCAGATCGAACACGCCAATGCCAAGGTCCTCCTCGCCAAGTGCATCAATGTCCTGCTGGCCATCATGACCGTCATCCTCGTGTGCGTCTCGACCATCGCCAAGTTCAGTGTCCCTCTGCTGAAGAGTCGCTTCCACGTACTGTGCACGGTCTGCTCGGTGCTGCTCATCTTCATCTTGTGGAAGAAATGGGATGACATTCAGTGTCTTGTTGAGCACATCATTGTATCCAGGTGATCCTCTGTGTAATTTTACCATATTTATCCCTTTTTTTAATGAACGTCACTATTCCGGAAATAAAAAAACTTGCAAAAGATATTCAGTGACACAAAAAGGTTATATGTTCAGCTCCACACGCGTGTGATTGATGTCCAAAGGACAGCGTTTTACCAATATTTCCACAGATATTAATTTTGTTGTAAGATACACTCCTGGTTTTATTGTTACGTCGGCCACTGAAATAATTCCTGGGAGGCCTTATAATAATAATAATAATTAATAATTTGGCCACTCAATCCACGGCTGTATGTGGGACGCTGCTGTGCATAATTGGCTGCCGCGTTTCGCCCACAAAGTATACAGTCACTACACTTTACAGTATATTCTGTGAAGCGCTTTGAGACATCTCGAAGACAATATGAGACGCTGTATCAACTGCAAAGATTATTATTATTATTATTATGTGTTTCTTGTAATGTATTAATATTTTCTTTGACATTCCTGCCCTGTAAGGAATTTCTTGCATCTGTTTTAATCACTTGGCCAAGAGGGGCAACCAGGCTATGGATGTGGTTCTTCACCTCTTTTTATTTATTGGATCAACTGGATAAAGTAAAATTATGATGAATGTATTCACGGCAGGCACGTCTGTTTACTAAAGCTCCTCACATAATGACCTGGATTAAGCAGCTGGTGTGAGTAAACCTGATATTCAGCACTGGCTTTAGCCCTTGAGAACATCAAGATGGCTGGCACATCGCAAGCTGTGCTGTAAAGGTCCTCCCACCACCCTCACGGCGGGTGTTCGTCTGCCAAATAGCTGATGAGGAAACTCTGAGACTTGGGGCCAGAGCTGCTGGAAGGTGTTACCTGCAATCCAAGTTCTTGAACACGTGTTCGTACGTCCAGGGCTTGGAATCCGCTTAGACTGGTTTGCAGAGAGGCCGGCAACTGCTGCTTAAACTCCGCACCTCCATGTGGTGGAATCGTTGCTCAATGGGGAGGCATGTGGTTGTGTCTGAACTGTGGGAAGTAAGAGGATAACAATATTCCCATACTGGTGAGTCACGCTCACCAAACAGTAGGAAGCCCATCAGAGGTTTGAATGGCTACTATGTGGTTTTAGCCTCTGTTTACCCAACAGTCAGTAGGAAACCGGTTGTTTGTCAATTGGAGGATCACTTTCCAGGGGTAATAATCCCTTCAAAAGATAAATAATCATAATAATAATTTGGTCACTCAATCCATGACTGTTTGTGAGACAATGCTGTGCATAATTGACTGCTGAGTTTTACTTTACGGTATATTCTGTGAAGCGCTTTGAGACGCCTCAAAGACGTGATAAGGCGCGATATCAAATGCAAGGATTATTATTATTATTAGACCCCAATCCCACATCTTGGGGTTTCCAAGCCTTGGCTGCTGCCAATTTGTGCCTAATAATCTCTGGAATTAGAGGGAGTCTGTGCAGAGAGAGAGAGAGAACATATTCCATTCCAAACCTAGGAATTCACATGCGTAGATAGTATAAATCTGTCGGGTTTGGATGCTCTTAAGTGTGGTGATAGGTTTTCACATGTGTCTAACCCTGGCTGACCAAAACCAAAATCGGTTTATACACAATGGCTGGCTCATAAATGTAATTTACTGATAAAAAATGTCTTCATCAACCACAACATACGGAAATGGAAGTGTCAAACCACCTGAATAGAGATGGTTAGGCTCCTTAGAGGGTGTCGTGGGAGACAAATGTGCCTAATCTGTATTTATACTAAACTGTTAATTCTGTCAGTTGGACCAGAAAAAGGAATGTCATTGAGATGAGTGTTTCAGTGAAATCAGAGATAATTTTTCAGGACACTTTAACTTAAGCTGCTTTGAAGAAAAAGTATTTCAAATGGACCAATACAGTCACATACCTCACATTCAGCCATATTTATTATGACCAAAAGGGCCTATTTTGACCCCGTGCAGTCCTGTGGTTTAGTGGTTAGAGCATTCACCTCACAAGCGACAAGACCTGGATGTGATTCCCTGGCAGGCGAAACATTCCTTACTCCACATATCTCTGCTTTCCTAGTAAGCAGGAACCCGGTTGTTAGCCGATTGAGGGAATCGCTTTTCTGCGGGTAATAAATCCCTCCAAAATAAATAAACAGATAAATAATTTGGTCTCTCAATTCACAACTCTGTATGGGGCACTGCTGTGCGCAATTGGCTGCCGCGTTTCGCCCACAAAATGTAACAGTCAATTCACTTTACAGTATATTCTGTGAGGCGCTTAGAGATAAGGTGCTATATCAAATGCAAGGATTATTACCATTATTATTATTACTGTAGAACTTATCTGGTATATTATAATGCACTGCCATAAGCTAAATTACTAAAGTGCCATTCAATGCCTCAAAATTGTTTTGCAGAGTTCAGTCAATCCTCTCAACACAACCGGCCAATAAATGATAAAGAGGACAGTTGTGCTTTGAAGCTCTTGCCAGTCATTATCATTGTGGCAGATAATTATTTGGGGAGGACAAGTTTGCAGGGCTATGGGGAGAGAGAGAGAGAGAGAGCAGGGGAGTGGGATTGATTTGGAAGCTCCTTTCAAAGTGCTGGCACAGAGCTGATGGACCGAATGGCCTCCTTCTGTGCTGTATGATTCTATGATTCTACGTCCTGCAGTAAACAGAATGTGCTCCCTCTGTAAGCAAACCGTTATTTAATTATATGTGTTCCTGTCCATTTCATTCTTCCCAGTAAACATGAAAGAGGCCATATCTTTCTCTCTGTATTGCTGTTAATAAAGACCTACTCTTTGTACTTTGTATTTTTTTCCTCTATCTAAAATGAGATCCAGCATTGAACGCTGACCAAATTATGCGGGTGATTAATTATGAACAAAATGACTTGACTGATTGACGCACAGCCGGTTGATTGATTCTATGATTCAGAAGTGAAAAGATCATTCCTTGAATAGTGGAAGAATCATTGTTTGATTTAAAATGAATTTGTTTTATGTTTCAAAGATTGAGTCCTAGGCTGACAGAATTTGGATCCAGGTACAGCGAATGAAACATCACCACCATTGATTTAAAATAGCTTTGAGTCTATTCAAATAGACTTCCGACTGACCTTGTTTTTAAAAGAGTTTAAAAAGTTTCAGCTACGTGACACCAGTTGAAGGAACTCCTGTCAATTTGTACTGTTTGATATTACCTGTATCTTCGAAGGCTGGTTCAGGTGGTTTAGTTTGGAATTCACCCAAAAATAATAATAATAATAACAATAATAATAATAAACCTTGCATTTGATATAACCCCTTAACACATCTTCAAGACGTCTCAAGTGCTTCACAGAATATACTGTAAAGTGAATTAACTGTGTGCCAATTGCGCACACAGTGTCCCACAAACAGTCGTAAAACTAGGTTTGCCTCATTTTACAAATATCCTCCCTTGTCTTTTTTGAAATCAAACATTCAGACGGACTCTATTACAAAAAACTGGAAGTTTAAAACCCATTGGAAGCTTCACTGGATGGACAGAAAGGTACCAAATTCCTATGAGGAAATAAGAGAAATGATTTGTCCCTAAATCAAACGCAAGGATTATTATTATTTCTTCCTGCTTAAATTTAACTTCAGAAGATTACATTAACTTAGACGCTACATTATGGACCCGTTACGAGTAGCCTTCCTTGCCATAACATTTTCTAGGCCAAAGATAAGAAACCACAATATCTTGTTGCCTGATTTGGCTGTTCACCTCCCAAATGCACAGTTTCTGCACTTACAGTATATTTTGCATATTTTGTAAAGTGCTTTTGCAGATGTGAAAGAAGCTACGGTATATCAACAACAAGATTACACGTGTACAGCGCCTTTCACGGCGGGAGGACGTCCCGAGGCGCTGGACAGTGACAGCATTTCAGACCCGAGCTGGGGATGGGGGGGCGTGGGGGGGTGGGAGAGGAAGGGGGGTGACCAATGGCATGGTTGAAGAGGAGGGTCTTGAGGGGGGACTTGCAGGAGGCTAAGGAGGGGGTGAGGCGGAGTGACTGTGGGATGAAGTTCCAGAGGTTGGGGGCAGAGTGGCTGAAGGCTCTCCCACCAATGGTGGGGCGGGTGGGTCGGGGGACGTGGAGCAGCCGGAGCGGCTGAGCGGAGGGAGCGAGCGGGTTGGTCAGGGGTTAGGAGGTCACAGAGGTAGGGTGGGGCGAGGCCATGGAGGGCTTTGTAGGTGAGGACCAGGATCTTGAACTGGATCCTCTGAAGGATAGGGAGCCAATGGAGTCGGGCGAGAGTGGGGAGATGGGGTCACGGAGTTTGGTGCGGGAGAGGACACGGGCTGCAGAGTTCTGGATTATCTGCAGCTGTGGAGGGAGGAGTTGGGAAGGCCGACAATCAGGGAGTTTGCACAGTTGAGTCTGGAGGTGATGAAGGCACGAACAAGAGTTTCAGCGCCTGAGGGGTGAGGTAGTGGCGGAGTCGGGCGATGTTCCGGAGGTGAGGGAAAGATTATATATCAGATGCAAAGATTATTCATAATCCACAGTAACTACTCTTTTCAGTATATCCTGCAAAGCGCTTTGAGACATCTCAACAATGTAATAAGGCGCTACATCGAATGCAAGGATTATTACTATTGTGGAAACTTTAAAGATTTATTTCCTTTCTTTCTGAAGCTCTCATGTCCTACCCTTGAACACGTTGAATTATTGCAAAATTTAGTCTACATGCACACAAAAATAATAGTGTTGGGATACCATACCAAATACTTCCTGTGGCCCTTTACTTCTTTAGGTTTAGAGTACATACTCAATAAAACATAACGGAACAGTCCCTGCACCTCTAGAACCACATCAAACCTAATGTGGGTGGGGTCAAATGTGTTGTGTGAAAATTATTACTTTCTTCAACGTACTGTTAAAACTTTCAAGAGAGAAACCTTCCTGTTTTTCAACACCTTAACAGGAACTCGTGACGTCTGAACACATAACATCTAATCAATCTTTGTGGAAATACTGCTGCAATCAGCAAAGAGTATTGGTACCAACAGAAATTCCTTACTCCGCGCCTCTGTTTACTCAGCAGTAAGTCAGAGTACGACTGTTTAGTCGATTGGCGAATCATTTTTCCAGGGGTACTCACCCCTTAAAAAAAAATTTGGTCACTCATACCACGAATATTTGTGGGACGCTGCTCCGCGCAATCGTCAGCTGGTTTCGCCCATGAAATACAGTCACTACACTCTACAGTATATTCTGCGAAGCGCTTTGGGACCTCTCGGAGACGCGATGTGTCGCTGTATCAAACGCCAGAATTATTATTTTATTATTGTCGTAAATCGGTATTTTGTTAATTTTGATTCGGTGAAACACACTCTGATGTGAAAGGCTTTACGTCGTTCGCAATGATTACTATTAAGAATAACACACACACCCCCACCCCCCCCCACACACACAGCCCCCCCCCCACACACAGCCCCCCCCACACACACAGCCCCCCCCACCACAGCCCCCCCCCCACACAGCCCCCCCCCACACACACACAGCCCCCCCCCACACACACACAGCCCCACACACAGCCCCCCCACACACACAGCCCCCCCCCCACACACAGCCCCCCCCCCACACACAGCCCCCCCCACACACACAGCCCCCACACACACAGCCCCCCCCCCACACAGCCCCCCCCACACACCCCCCCCCACACAGCCCCCCCCACACACCCCCCCACACACAGCCCCCCCCCACACACAGCCCCCCCCCACACACCCCCCCCACACACACAGCCCCCCCCCACACACAGCCCCCCCCACACACAGCCCCCCCCACACACAGCCCCCCCCACACACCCCCCCCACACACAGCCCCCCCACACACCCCCCCCACACACACACCCCCCCCACACACACACAGCCCCCACACACACACAGCCCACACACACACACACCCCCCACACACACAGCCCACACACACACAGCCCCCCCACACACACCGCCCCACACACACACCGCCCCCCACACACACAGCCCCCCCCACACACAGCCCCCCCCCACACCCCCCCACACACACACCCCCCACACACAGCCCCCCCCACACACAGCCCCCCCCCACACACCCCCCCACACACACACCCCCCCCCACACACACAGCCCCACACACACCACACCCCCACACACACACAGCCCCCCCCACACACAGCCCCCCCCACACACACACACCACACACACACACCCCCCCCACACAGCCCCCCCCACACACACACACACACACACACCCCCCCCACACAGCCCCCCCACACACACACACCACCCCCCCACACACAGCCCCCCCCCACACAGCCCCCCCCCCACACACACAGCCCCCCCCCACAGCCCCCCCCCCACACACAGCCCCCCCCACACAGCCCCCCACACACACACAGCCCCCCCCACACAGCCCCCCCACACACACAGCCCCCCCCACACACAGCCCCCCCCCACACACACAGCCCCCCCACACACAGCCCCCCCCCACACACAGCCCCCCCACACACAGCCCCCCCCCACACACAGCCCCCCACACACACAGCCCCCCCCCCACACACAGCCCCCCCCCACACACACAGCCCCCCCCACATACACAGCCCCCCCCCCACACACAGCCCCCCCACACACACAGCCCCCCCCCCACACACAGCCCCCCCACACACACAGCCCCCCCCCACACAGCCCCCCCACACACAGCCCCCCCCACACACAGCCCCCCCCACACACAGCCCCCCCACACACACACAGCCCCCCCCCCCACACACAGCCCCCCCCACACACAGCCCCCCCACACACACACAGCCCCCCCCCACACAGCCCCCCCCCACACACACACAGCCCCCCCCCACACACAGCGCCCCCCCCCACACAGCCCCCCCCCACACAGCCCCCCCCCCACACAGCCCCCCCCCACACAGCCCCCCCCACACACACCCCTCACACACACAGCCCCCCCCCCACACAGCCCCCCCCACACACAGCCCCCCACCACACACAGCCCCCCCCACACACCCCCCACACACACAGCCCCCCCCACACAGCCCCCCACACACAGCCCCCCCCACACACAGCCCCCCCCACACACAGCCCCCCCCCCACACACAGCCCCCCCACACACAGCCCCCCCCCCACACACAGCCCCCCCCACACACAGCCCCCCCCCACACACAGCCCCCCCCACACAGCCCCCCACACACACAGCCCCCCCCACACACAGCCCCCCCCCCACACACACACAGCCCCCCCCACACACACACAGCCCCACACACTGAGCCACTGTGTGTATGAATGAATGAATGAATGAATGAGTGCAGTTTGCATACATGATTGACAGGTGGAGGATGATTGACAGGTGGAGGATGATTGACAGGTGGAGGATGATTGACAGGTGGAGGATGATTGACAGGCGGAGGGTGATGGACAGGTGGGCAAAGGCGTGTGTGACGGGTAAAGGGGGCGGGGGGAGGGGAGGATGATTGACAGGTGGGCGTTGCCCAGTGCTCACGTGCTCCGGGGTTGGGTTGTCTGGAGGCGGCGCGAGCCGAGGCCGACGGTTGGTGGCGCAGGCGCAGTGTGGGGGGGGGAGGGGAGGGAGTGAGGGCCGGACAGACCCGACAGCACAGCGGCCCCGGTGGATGCGCCGAGGCTTCCGGGGAGGGGAGGGGAGGGGACGGGCATGTAAGTCAGAGCCAAGCCGCGCGGAGGGTAAAGCTCGGCGCTGTTTGAGGGAGAGGGAGAGGGGGAGTGTGACAGACACACACACACAGAGAGAGAGAGCAATTTAAAAATGGCGCTCACCGGCCCTCGCACTGCTCCGGGTCTCGTCTCGGTCACGTTTCCAGTTTGAAGTGATATAACGCGCCTCAGCACCCGCTTAAACATCAGCAAGACTTACACAGGGGAGAGGGAGGGAGGGAGGGAGGGAGAGAGAGAGAGAGGGAGGGAGGGAGGGAGGGAGGAGAGAGAGAGAGAGAGGGAGGGAGGGAGAGGGAGGGAGGGAGCTGACGCCAGAGCCGCCATTGCTTGGCGTTGCCACGGTAACCTGGCTTGCTGGCCCGGGAGCGGGAGCGGGAGCGGGAGGGAGGGAGACACCATCATAATAATCCTATAATAATCCTTGCACTTGATACGGTGCCGTATCACAGTCGGTGGTGTCCTGTAGCTTTCAGTGGTCAGAGCGAGCGAGCGAGAGGGGGGCGCGGGTCAGGGCGAAAGCTTAGGCAAGTTTCCTTACTCCCCCCACCCCCCACACACATACCCACACACACACCCACACACACAGACACACACCCAGACACACACACACCCACACACACACACCCAGACCCACACACATACCCCCACACACACCCACACACAGACCCACACCCAGACACACCCCCGCACACACCCGCACGCAGACACACACCCACACACACAAACACACACCCAGACACACACACACCCAGACACACACACACCCACACACACACACCCAGACCCACACACCCACACACATACCCCCACACACACACACACCCACACACAGACCCACACACACACCCGGACCCAGACACCCACACACACACCTAGACACACACCCACACGCAGACACACACCCACATCCAGACACACACCCAGACACACCCCCACACACACCCACACGCAGACACACACCCACACACGCGCCTCTGTTTACCAGCAGTGAGTAGGAACTCGGTTGTTAGTCGATTGGCAGATCGCTTTTCTGGGGGTAACAGTCCCTTTTTTAAGAAAAATAATAATAATTTGGCCAATTCAACCCACGACTGTTTGTGGGACCCTGCTGTGCACAATTGGCTGCTGTTTTCGCCCCAAAAATACACAGTCACTACACTTTACAGTCTATTCTGTGAAGCGGTTTGAGACGTCTCGAAGACGTCAAATGCAAGGATTATTATCACACCGTTGTACCTTGTCACATTTTAAATTATCATGTTTATTGATATTCAAAACTGCCTTCTCTTGAAAATGGCTTATGAGGAGAACTGCTGAGAATATTGATTTTTTTGTGTATGTGACTTTTTCGTGACAGTTGATTTTCTTGATTTGAAATGGCGTCAGGAAGAGAATCAGCTCCTGGTGCTGGAACCTGTCCTTTAAGTGGGAAAACCTTGCCCTACAGTTTGTTGAATCCATCCAACAACCCATCTCAGCTAAGCATAGGAGTGGGTCTTACAGATACAGGACTACAAAAAATGTTAATTGATGAAAGAATGAGATGTGAACATCATAAAACCAACTACCAGACTCTGAAAGCTGAACACACAAGGTAATAATAATAGAGTATACATTATATCAACTGACTTTTCTATATAAATTGTCATAAATTGATAGGTATGCACATGGGCTGATGATTGGCAATGGAAATCCAATAGGTAAATGCAAAGTGTTGCATAGAAAGCAAGAATAGGAGGTATATGTACTCCATGGATGGGGTAGAGCTTGCCAAGGGGAATGCTGAAAGATCTAGGTGTGTTAGTTGACTCATCAGTCACCATATCAAGACAGAGTGAAGCATGCAGTGGATAAGGCAAATGGGGTGCTGAGCTATATTAACAAATGACTTGACTTCAGGTCCCCGGAAAGCACATTGAAGGCTGCACCTATAGTACTGTGTACTGTTGTGGGATCTGCCCAGCCCTTAGAGGCAATGTACAGGAGAGCACAAGATGATTCAGAGTGTCGGAGAAATAAATTATGAGCAACAATTAGTCAAGTTAATCAACCTTATAGAGGTATTCAGGATTTTTTAAAAATGGGATTAAGAACATAAACTGAAAACTATAGTTTCAGATGTACTGAGCTAGCAGAACAAGAAGGGATAGGTTCAGCATTTAAAGGGCATTTGCAGATCAGGAACGGGAAAATATTTCTTTACATGGTAATTAACAATTGCAACAAATTACCAGGAAAATTGTTTGAGTCCAGACACTAGGCTCATTTAAGAAACAGTTTGATTCTATGATGGGTTGGTGGGTATTCTGGAAGGATGAGATCAAATGAATCACTTCTTCATCCAAACTTCTCTTTGATCTTGTGATGGAATTATTTTACCGTTGTCATGCTTTTACTTTTCCAAGTTAATAAGCCGTAGAAGTGAGATGATAGATCTCGTTGGTGATGTTATTCTATACTTCGTGTAATTGTATAAGATAGAAGGCAAAGTGAATTGTATACAATCTGCATGTTGCCTGTTTATTGTAAGATTTCTTTGACATTTTGACTGCAGGTTGCAAAGTGAATATACGAAAGCCCAACAAGAACTGAAACGTCAACTTGTGGATAAACAAAGCACTCAGGAGAAATTTCAGCTTCTTCTCACTGAGCTGCGAGGTGAATTATTAGATAAAACTAGGGAGCTCGAAGAACTCAAAATCCAGGTGAGGTGGCCATTTTTAGGGGAAAAAAATGCCAACCACAACCGCATGGGTAATGTGTTCCTGGTTAAGAAAGCAATATGTGAATAGAAAATGACTGGTCAATGTGACACAATGAGTAATTTCACACAGATGTGAAAATGACTACTGTACTATTTTATATTAAGTACCTATAAAAATTCTTATCAGGTTTCACAGGCAACACATATTTGTGAGAGCCCTAAAATTGGGCGTTAGATTTATAATAGCTCTGTCTAATACAATGAGCCAGGGAGATATACTATGTGAGGCTTGCCTTTTACATTGTTCTATTGTTCAAAAGAATATCACGTAAGCACCTTGGGACGTCCTCTCGACTTGAAAGGTGCTATACAAGTGTAATTTTTGTTTGTTGGTGAAAACTTAACAGGAACAAAAATACTGTCTGTGATGCTTGTTTCGTCAAATTGCTAATTCTGATATGTGTCATGTTCGTTTTCACAACTGCTGCTTATTTTTAAATAAATGATTGGCAGGCATTAACTCCCCAAAAATTGGAATTATTAAAAGCACATATCCAACAAGAGCTGGAGGCACCTATGAGAGAACGCTTTAAGAAACAAGATGAGGTAAGAATGGAAACATTCCAAAACGCAAAATACTGAAATGCTGGAAATCTGAAAACAAAAACAGAAGTCGCTGGGAACACTCAGCAGGTCAGGCAGCATCAATGGAGAAAGGAAAGTGAGTCAATGTTTTGGGTCTATGATCCTTCATCAGAACTGAGGCATGTTGGGAGGGAGAGGCTTTTAAGGGTTAACAGAGAGTGGGGATGCAGGGCAAGGAGGATAAAGAAGAAAATGGGATAGAGGACAGGGATGATGGGTTAAAGAGGTGTTAATAATGCAAAAAATGCAAAATATTGCTGATGCTGGCACTGCTGGCTCCCAGCCACTTCCCTTTTTTGTTTTCATGGAAACATTCCAGTTTAACATTTATAACTGAACTGAAAAATATTATGTTTATGTAACTTTGAGCTGTATATGAGCTTTAAGGACTCTTTCAATATTTTAGGAGGTTGAAAAATTTAGGACGGAATATAATAAACTACGGTATGAATATACTTTCCTAAAATCCGAGTTTGAGCATCAGAAGGAAGAACATGTGCGCTTGCTGGATGAAAAAAAGATCCGATATGAGGCTGAGGTAGGTATCGCAGTTGAAGCTAGTGAGTAAATCATAGAATTTTACAGCACAGAAGAAGGCCATTTGGCCCATTGTGTCTGTGACGGCTCTTTGAAAGAGTTATCCAACTAGTCCCACTTCCCCAGTGGGAGGGGTGGGAGGCCCAATTTAGACAAAGCTGAAAAAAGGCTGATGTTTCTTTGAAGATCCTTTGCCATTCTCTCAATATCAGTCTGGTTCCTGTTTTCACTGCACATTGCATGTCTGCGTGACTTTTAGTCCTGAAACATTCAGCTCCGACTTTCAATATTGGACTTATTCTATCTCATTTCAAAATGAGACCACACTATTTTATCCCCAAGTACTCAAAGCTGTGCTACATTTCTGCACTGATATATTTCATTTGCAGATGGTACTTCACAATTTATGATTCTATGATTAGGGGTATCCATATACAAGGCACATATGTATCATAGAATCATAGAATTATACAGCACAGGAGGAGAGCAATCGGCCCATCATGTCTGTGCCAGCTTTTAAAAGAGCTTCCAAATCAATCCCACTGCCCTGCTCTCTCCCCGTAGCCCTGCAAATTCCCCAAATCATATCTACTTCTCTCAAAAGTTGTTATAGAATCAGCTTCCACCACCCTTTCAGGCAATGCATTTCAGACCTCCCCTCTGTTTCTTTCAACAACTATTTTAAATCGGTGTCCCTGGGTTACTGACTCACCCACCATTGGAAATAGATTCTCTGAAAGTAAAAACTAAATTGCTTTAATGGTGTATTCTTGGAACTATTGGGTGTTCTCTCTTTAGTTTGAGTTGGGTTTAGGTTGGTTGCTTCTCCGTGACGGCTTCTAGAGCCACACTGATTAACTAACAGGAAACATGGCTGTAGTGTTCAGCGATGTGGTCTGCAGTCGGCACACATTTTCGATTGATCGCACTTTGGGCAGTAGCTCCTTGTTCTGCAGGGAATTTCTATTTGTTTAATTTCCTGTATCTCATACACCAGGTAGTTAGATTGGAGAAGGACAAAGAAGTGCTACATAACCAGCTGATGTGCGTGGACTCCAGCATAGATAAAAAGCGAGTGGAGATCCTGCTGAGGGAGAAGGCTCAATTACACCAAAAGATCAAGAGCCTGGAGGCTGAGCTAGTTCAGCTCCAGTCAGAAAGAGAAAACTCTGGTTTGCAGGCGGAAAGTGTACAGAGGATTCAGGTGCGACAGTTGTTTGAAACACAGGCTGCTGTTAAGTCTTTGGAGGTATGTTTCATTTCCACTGTTCTTAAATGCTGTGTGTGACCAAATTTCTTACAATGAAATCATCCCCAATCTCCTCTACAGTAAAATGGTTTATAAAACTGTTTGTATACAATAGACTATCTGCTCTGACAATCAATGTAGTGAAATAGAATATGAAGCGCAAAAGCTGTCCATTAGGCCTGTTAGCCTGGCATGTGCTAGCTCACCCATTGAAATTATCTACTGTAATTTCATTTTGTCCGCTATACCCTTTTATACTATCCTTCAGATGAGATGTTAAACTGAGGACGCATCTGCCTGTTCAAATGGGTGTTAATGCTATTTCTGTTGTTATTTCTATTGCTATTCAATGCTATTTCTAACAGTTTTCCGTCAAAATCAGGTCAACCTGACGCAGCTTAGAAAAGGGAAGGGAGTTTCGCCTAGCGGTTTGTCATTTTTTATGAAGTTCTGAATAATGTTATATGGAGTCAGCAATTGTCTCAGTGACTTCAGGCTATAGAAGATGGAGGGAAAATAAATAACTGAAAAATTTCAGTTTCTTTTCGATTGCTTTTTGAATTAGTTTTCACAATATCTTTCTGTGTATTTTTCTTGTTGATCCAAGGCAGAGAAGCAGTCGATTAAACTGCAGATGGAGCGTTTAGAGAAGGAAATGCAGCTGGTTCTTGAACAAAACAACTTACTGATCAGCAAATTGCACAAGACAGAACGGGAAGTGAATTCTTTATCAAGCAAAGTGAGTCAAGATCTGAAAATGACCGACTGCTTGCGCTTATTTATTTATGCGCTCAGACATTATGCTTTTGAATTTGCACTATTTCACATAATTTCAGTGCCATGAAATTTTGTTTCCCAGCTACGTGTCTGACACATTAGAAACCCAAGAGCATGTTTAAGCGTATCCAAACCAGACTGAGAATGATTATATATGACTTGACCACTGTTTCTTTCTACCTTCCTATGCAGAGCCAATTGGCCAATCCTGAGTTTGCAACTGAGATGAGAAACCTGTTATGTGGGAACTGCTGTGGATGAGAAACCTCTTATGTGGGAACCACTGTTCCATTGAGTTTAGAAGGTTGAGGGGTGACCAAATTGAGGTTTTTAAAATGATAAAGGGATTTGATAGGGTAACGACAACAACCACAACTTGCATTTATATAGTGTCCTTCATACTGGGTAGTGTCCCAGAGCGCTCTGTAGCTACCTGTCTTGGATAGTTACAGAGAATCTATTTTTTGTCTGGTAGGGGAATTCGAGAACAAGGGGCATAGTCTTAAAATTAAAGCCAGGCCATTTAGGAGTGAAATCAGGAAGCATTTTTTTACCCAAAGTGTAGTGGAAATCTGGGACTCTCTTCCCAAAAGGCTGTGGATGCTGGATCCATTCAAAATAGATCTTATAGAATGACGGAACAGGCTCAAGGGGCTGAATGGCCTACTCCTGTTCCTATGTTCCTATTTGTAATGTTATGCTTGTTTACAGTTCCAGTTCCACTAAGTTTCATGCTGCATTTCAAGTTGAAGAGCCTCCATGATGTTCAGACTTGATTTTATAGCCTGCCACGGATGACCTGACCTGGTCTTTATTTTCATTGAATACTTTTATTACCGAGGAAGAAAACAAAATCCCATGTTATTTCTGAACATGTGATTCCCTTCCGAGTTTTAAGAAGAGGATGTTGCACTCATGTTGTTTTAATCTCATTATAGCTAGAAGAAGATAAACATTCCCATAAGCTGGAAGTTGCTAACCTCAAGCTAGAAGGAGCAAGAACCAAAGGAGAGATCGAGAGAGAGAGAGATAACATGCAGAGTGAAGTGGATGGTAACCTTCTGATTTATTTTTAATTTGGTTTTACCAAATTAACTGTAGCTTTTCTGACTTTGATCATACAAATATTCTGCTCAATTGTATGCGGCATTCATGACTTGGAAGTACAGGAAGGCTATTATAACATCGCAATTTGTGTCCCTAAAGTCAACCTGCACACCACAAAATGGTGCTTCCACATCTTTCTGTCACTGTTTGCTTCACTTCCTACAAGCTGTACATGTACAGAAAGCGCCATTAGTGGCTATCTGACACCCTGACAGTGCTGAATGGTGGCCATATTTTCAGCACACGTTGTTATAATCCAGGTTGCTGACCAATCAACTCCTGAAGCCAGAAATCTCCCAATTTATGGTGTAGTGTGGGACCGCAATGCACTATGAGTATCCTAGCACCCTGGTTCAGGGTGCATTATAGCTGAGGTCACCGTGTGTGTACATATAAAATCTATATTAACGATACTAGGTGCTGGGAGAGTATTATAATAATAATAATCCTTGCATTTGATATAGCGCTTTTCACGTCTTCTCGACGTCTCAAAGCGCTTCACAGAATATGCTGTAAAGTGAATTGACTGTATATTTGTGGGCGAAACGCGGCAGCCAATTGCGCACAGCAATGTCCCACAAACAGTCGTAGATTGAAAATGACCAATTTATTGTTGTTTTGGAGGGATTATTATTAGGCTCTGTGTGGAGTAAGGAAACTTGCCCAAGGTTTCGCCCTCTGCCTGGAATTGAACCCAGGTGTCTCGCTTGCAAGGCGAGTGCTCTAACCACTGAGCTATAGGACTCCACAAAGTCCTCCACGAACCTATTAGCCTAGGTTGTGAGCTCTAATAATAATAATAATACTTGCAATTGATCTAGTGTCTTAACACGTCTTTGCGATGTCTCAAAGCGCTTCACAGAATATACTGTAAAGTCCTGATATGCTTGAATTGGCAGAAGAGGTAGTCACAATTTGCTCAGTTCCCAGTGGATCAGCCCACTCCTGTCTCCAGTGAACGTCTGTTGAACTTGCAGGGCTGCAGTCAGACATTGACATCTTGAAAGCCTCCATTGAAAGGCACAAAGAACTCCTGACAGAAAAAGAACGAGAGGTAATTCGCAAAGTACAAGCAGCGAAGGAGGAAGACTTCCAGAAACTTACAGTAATTCAAGATGAAAAGTAAGTCTTAAATGGAAAGTAATGTCACTTTTATTGTAATGCTGTTTCTCCATCTGTGAATAAGAAGTGGTTGCTGGTAGTCAAGAATTCTTGTGCCAAGTATTAAGTAACTCAAATGTTAAAATATTAGAATCTTCATAATGTTCTAGGAGATTTACCTGACCATTGTACAGTTGTCTAGTTGTCCGGAATTTGAAGCATGATGTGAACTGTTCATTCTTGTTCCCAGGCTAGAGTTGGAGAATAAAGTAGCTGACCTGGAAAGACTGAAGGCTGAGCAGGACATTACCTGGCATGCTGAAAAGGATCAGCTGGAAGATAAAGTCCGAGTTGTACACTTGGCTGAAGAAGCAGCCAAGAGAGAGATCCAGACCCTCAGGTTAGAAGCACGATGTTTAAAGCATAGTGACGCTTTGGAAATCACATTTTGTAAAATGCAAATTAATAAATAAAGATAAAACCCAACAAGGGAAATAGAAAATATTTTAAACTAGGCGTGGGGTGGTAGGGGGTGGGGAGGAGGAGGTGGCCATAAGCACAGTCAAAGGGGAAAGTGTTCAGTGTATTATATTACTACATCTAAGATGGAAACTCTTTGCAACATTGTTTTTTGGTGGGGGATGTTTTTGCACAGTAAGCTTTTCAATAAGTATTAAAAAATGGATAATTTTTCCACATTAATAGTGTGGGCAGGGGCTAAACACAGGACTCAGAGGGGAAAGGAAACTTTTATCTGATGGCATGAAGTACCTCTGCTTTGAGATGTTTTGATGTGATGAAATGTTTTTGAAAACTATAATTTTAAAAGATTCATCACATCAATTTTGAACTACCTCAATTCACTATCTTTCCATTTGCTGTCTTCTACTGTCTTAATACCTCTTCTACTGTCTTAATACCTCTTCTACTGTCTTAGTACCTCTTCTACTGTCTTAGTACCTCCTACTTCACTTAAGTTCAGTGAAGTTTTAGTTTACTAGAAACAAAACTGGATATATGTATACATAGCAAAATATTTTCAATAAGCTTAAACTTATTTATTTGAATTGTAGGTCAAAAGTTCAACAGCAAATGCTTCAGATGGAAGAATTTGAAAAAGAAAAGTTTGACAGTGTGGAATTCAGACAGGTATCGTAAATCACTCCATAAACCCCAGTGCGGGGAAAATACTGCCAATGTAAAGTACATTTTTTCAAATCTCTTCCCTTGTGTGTCAGCCTGACTTAGTGTTAGCGTTCTCATTTCTGAGTCAGAAGGTTGTGAGTTTAAGCCCACATTGAAATTTACAGTCACAGTCTAAGCTGACGCTCCATTTCAGTGCTGAGGGTGTTGCACTGTTGGAGGTGCTGTTGAGATGTAAACTGAAGTCCCATCTGCCTGTTCAGGTAGATGTTAAATATGCTATGGTTCTATTTGTAAGGGGAAGGGAGTTTCTCCCAATGGCCTGGCCAGCATCTCACAAATAAAATAAAATTGGTCACTACTTCTGTGGCTATTGTGAGAATGGCTGCTGCGTTTCGCCCACAAATAAACAGTCACTCCACTCCTGTATCAAATGCAAGGATTATTATTATTATTCATTATTATTTTCATTCCAACTAGTGAGCACTTGTGTACTTTCCATTGCAGAAGCTTTTAAAATGAAGTCACTGTCCGTCAGCAGTTTTTCATGAATACTGTAGTTCTTGTGGCTGGTTCATGTTGTTTATCCAGTCTGATAGAAAGTCCCTGATTGTGCAATGGATGAGACATTCACTGGTTTCCCTGTAAAGCTGTGTGAGGAATTGTACTTGGGTTGTATGAAATTGAAGTGGTAAAATTAACCAAATTCAGAAATGTTTAGAAGGGAACCAAAAAGAAAACGTATGAAAAAATTAAAATCTGAGTGGAAACTACAGTGCTTCTTTACAATAGTGTGGTAATTGGGATTGATAAAATACCAACCAACCCTATAACGGGACACTGTCAGCACTTCTGCATTCACTGTCACGTGTGCAGAAAGACAGCCTGCTCTATTGGTGCTTTATCCCAGTCAGCACATGGGATTCACACCTCACCAGAAGCAAACCCACAAACTATCCTCTAGGTCTATTGAGTTCTTGATTGCATCATAAACTAGCTTTTTTGATGTAGTGGGTGCTTAGCTATGGTGATAAATTGATAGTTGATAATAATAATCCTTGCATTTGATATCGCGCCTTAAAACATTGTTGAGACTTCTCAAAGCGCTTCACAGTATATATGATATACAGTGACTGTGTTTTGTGGGCAAAAAAAACTTCTAACTGGGTTCCACTGTAAAAGTTCTAACGGGGTTCTACTGTACTTTTTTGTAGCAAATCTATGAGCTTCAGGTCCAGGTTAACACTTTATCACAGTCAGAACATGATTTACTGGAAACCAATCAGAAACTGCGAGAGATGCTGGATATTTTAAAGGAGGAAGCACGGAGTGTGAGAAGCCAAGCAGAGAAGGCACAGCAGGAAGCTGAGAGGTAAGCAGCTATGCTGTACTGACAAAATATAGTCAATTCACTTTGAGGTTTGAGACATCTCGGAGATGTGATAAGGCTGTATCAAATGCAAGGATTACTATTATTATTTAGACATTGCTAGTGACAAATAATTAATGCTATAGCTGAAATGTGTAGCACATTCTGAATCGGTTTAAAGTTTTACTTTGTAAAATGTAACTTTAAACCAAAACCACAAGGTTGTTGGATCAGCAATGTTTTATCTGTTTGTCACAGATTAATCGATGACAAGCGCATTGAGATGCTGGAGGAGAAACATAAACTGCAGCAGCGCATTGCAGAGCTGGAGGAGAAATATTGTCAAGCCAAAGATCGACTTCAACGTGCTGCTATGGCTCAGAAAAAGGTCTTGTATTCTTTATTCAGCATGATATGTTATGCTATGTTATAACATGTTATATTAGGTAACTATCAAGGGATATGGGACAAGGGTAAGTAATTGGAGTTGGGGTACAAATCAGCCATACTCTTATAAAATGGCGGGACAGTTTCAAGGAGCTGAACGACCTCCTGTGCTGCAATTCATCTCTGGGTCAGAAACATTATCTTTTTCTGTCTTTTTTTACAGAGAAAAACATTGAACGAAAGTAAACAGAAAAGGTTACAAGAGAAAATACAGCTGTTAGAGGCAAAGAAAGAGCAGCTGGAAATTGAGAAATGTACAGTTAAGTAAGTGTGTGTGTATATATAATAAACCAAATTAATTTGAAAGAAACCTTTCCATACAAGAGACAACATTACACAAATGTGTGGAGAGTGCAGGCAAGCCGGCATTTACTCTAATCTATTCAATTCATTTCAATGTTTTCCAGGCAAAGTGTTTCTTATGACGATCATTCTAGACTTCAGAAAAGGTTGAAGGACTTGCAGCGGAGGCACAATGAATTCCGAAGACTAATTTTGGGAGCACATTTTCCCTCCAGCACTTTAAGTAACTCAATAAATTTTCTGCCGCCCAGCTTTGTGCAAGGAGCAGAAACATTTCTGAATGTTCAGGTACAGAATTTGAGCAAATTTAATATATTTTATGCTTTCAATCTGGACTTGTACAAAATCTTCATTGAAATTCTCATGTGATTATAAACACCATTTTATACACACTGCATTAACAATATATCTCAATATAAAGTGTGTGTGCTTACTGCTTACGTAAAAAAAAACAAATAATGTGGTCACTCCATCCATGGCTGTTTGTGGGACACTGTTGTGCACAATTGGCTGCCGAGTTTCGCCCACAAAATACACAGTTCACTTCACAGTGTATTCTGTGAAGCGCTTTGAGGCTTCCAAACGATGTGATAAGGTGCTGTGTCAAATGCAAGGATCATCATTTATTAAATTATAAGTGAAAATAAAATACTCATCCTTTATTTTAATACAATAGCGCCTTATCACATCGAGTCCGTGTTGCACATAGATTCATAGAATGTTACGGCACAGAAGGAGGCCATTCGGCCCATCGAGTCTGTGTGGCTCTTTGACAGAGCGTCACTTTCACTAACCCCAATCACCAGCTTTCTCCCCATAACCCCGCAAACCCGTCTTCCCCCGATACCTGTCCAGTTCTCTCTTAAAAGCTGTTATTGAATCGGACTTTACTGCCCTTTCAGGCAGATCATTCCAAATCCGAACAACTCGCTGAGTGAAAACATTTCTTCTAACCTCCCCTCTGCTTCTTTTGGTAGATATCTTAAGACTGTGACCACGAGTCACAGACACACCTACCAGCGGAAACAGCTTTTCCTTATCTCGCCTGTCGAAACCTTTCATGATCTTGAAGACCTCTATTAGGTCCCCGAGTAACCTCCTCTGCTCTAACTTCTCCCGCCTGTCCTCATAGCTAAGGTTCCCCATTCCCATCCCCATTCGTGAATCTCCTCTGCACCCTTTCCAGTGCCTTAATGTCCTTCCTGAAGTACGGTGCCCAGAACTGGACGCAGTACTCCAGCTGAGGCCTAACCAGTGTTTTGTGTAGATTAACCATAACCCCTACTCTTATACTCTATGCCCCTATTAATGAAGCTCAGTACACCAAATGCCTTTTTTACTGCCTTATCTACCTGCCCCGCTACCTTTAATGATTCGCTTACTTGAACACCCAGATCTCTCTGTACGTTCACCCCCCCCTTAAGATTGAGCTCCAAGCCTATATTGCCTCCTATCATTCTTCCTCCCTAAGTGTATCACCTCACACTTATCCACATTGAAATCCATCTGCCACATGTCAGCCCATTCCACCATTCTGTGTATGTCTGCCTGCACTCCGTCACAATCTGCTTCACTATTTACTACCCGACCTAACTTGGTATCATCTGCAAACTTGGAAATAGTGCTCCCTATGCCCAAGTCCAGATCATTAATATATATTAGAAAGAGCAGTGGTCCCAATACCGATCCCTGGGGGACACCACTGCACACCTCCTTCCATTGCGAGAGACACCCATTAACCACCACCCTCTGCTTTCTGTCACTCAGCCAGTTCTTAATCCAAACTGCCACTGTCCCCTTAATACTGTGGGCCTCTAATTTTTGTATTAATCTCTTATGCGGTACAGTGTCAAAAGCCTTTTTGAAATCCATGTAAATAACGTTCACTGCATTTCCCTCTTTAAAAATAGGTCAGCATTTTATATGAACATCCATTTTTTGTTTTTTCCATCATTTTTTAGGAAGAACAGCATCAGTGTGAACTCTCTGTTCTCCGCAAGAGATTGGAGGAACTGGAGACAAACCAGAAACAACAGCTGCAGGACCTTGGGGCAATTGATTGAGTATATATAGCCCTTTGCTAAGATGTGGGAAAATAGTGTGAAATGTATTTACTTTTCCATGGTGTTTGAGAAGTCCTTTGGAAATACTGCATCACACTTCAAAAATAGAGAAAGGTAATGTAAAATATTGGTGCTAAATATCGATTGCAAAGGTGATCCATGTTTAAAAGACTACTGTAAATGTAATCAGCAGTCTACATAATCAGGTTTACTTGACAGAACCTTTTCATATTTCTTTCCCAATAACTTTTGTGCCTTGAAAAACATTTTCTGTTTTAATTACATCAGTATACAGTTTTAGTATTTTCATCATTGAAGCTCTACACGAATAAGGAAATCTATCATGCTCGACAAACCCACGGGCACTAAAGATAGGATCACGCAATTTATGTTCCCCCTCAGAAAAATGTGTTTGCCTCCATAGGTTTAGTCCAGAACCACATTGCTGTCATTCTGATGATTTCAGAAGTTCCAAAATGTTGAGTGCCAAAAAATGCAATGCCTCAAAGGTAATGGATGTAAACTGAGCTCCACCTCCAAATAATGCCTGATTCCTTGGCTTCTGATCCCTGAAGCAAACTGATGTTGGCCTATTACAGGTTCCTGGCTAAAACTCTGGTTACTGTACACAATGTACCAAGCAACACTGCGCTGCGAGACAATGCAACCCAACAAACCTGGAATAGTAAGTGTGGCTTATCTCAAATCCCCAACTTTTATAGTTTTTCTCTAAATCAAATTTTCTTTTAGAGTTTTGAAAGACCAAATTGTTTATCAGTGAAATGTGTACAGAACAAAAGGAAACATTTACTTTATATTCTGCACTAAATGCCTTATATAACACGAGAGAGGTGATATCTTCTGCACAATTTTTGCACATTTATTATTTCACTGATGATGAATGATTTGGGTGAATGTTTTTTTTAATTACTAAATGTGTGGTCATCTTTATTTTTGTATCACTGAAGAATTATGATATGCTGCGATTAAGCAGCGACATTAATTAATCTTTAAATTTACTGTCAGAGTCCTACGGCTTGAATTTAATCCCAGCATATCTATAGAAAGCTTTTACCTAAAATGGCACTCGGCAACCATGTTCTGTGAGTGTTTATTTTGGGGGGCTATTCTATATTCATTCCTCAGTTTGGGTTGGAGACTCTTAAGCACGGTGATGGGTTTCCACATGTGTCAGACAAACACAAATTGTCATGAGGTGCAGAACCATTCATGGACGACTCTACTGAGATTTTCTCTGCACTTGCTGGGGGGTCGTTCACTTCACTCCTGTTGTGGGTCAAGAAATGAGTGGAGTCTGAACCCCCATGTGTTCACTCCATGGCACGGAGCATTCAACAGCATTACATTCACTTGTTCCATGTTTACACTGTCTTACAGCTTCTCTATCATTGTTTTGGAAAATATAATTTGTATGAAAGATGTAATATATTTCTGTAAAATATTTTTATTATTTCTATTGGCTTTATTTGATTTGTATTTTGTTTGTAACTAGATATGTTACACGTTGTCCTGTTTACTATTTATATTTTTCTAATCATTTGAATTTTACATTTGACCTGTTATTGAAGATACTGAAATAAAATTGTAATTTGATCACTGAAATTCTAATGTGTAGAATATTTTACCTGTACTAAATAATTATGTGATTTACTTGATGGTGTGTTGTGCGCTCTTATAACTGGTCTATATTTAGTATTACGCTCTCTATATTATAAAAAGTCCTAAATCTAAGAGGAAAAAGCCATATCACTTGCTTTGTAGAGAAACTTCCACAAGTTTGCTAGTGGAGAGTAATGACCTTCAATCATGCTTTCAGCCACTACGCCCCGAAACTCTGGACCATTCTCCCTGAATCCCTCCACCTTGCCCCCTCCCCTTTTTCAAGTCCTGCCCGAAAACGATCGCTGTCGACCGTGCTTACGGTCACCTCCAACCCTCCCCCCGGCTCGGAGTCAGGCTCAGCCACTGTTAAACACTCTGAGACACTGCCCTGTGTGGCAGGCGCTAAATAAGTGCAAGTTGTTGTTCAATTGGATCCTAAGATTTTGTTGTTGTTGAGGATGTCATAAGATCACAGCAGCGGCTCATTTGAGCTTCCTGTTTCGTATCTACCAGCACAAAGAGATGTGATGTGTATCACTGAAGGAATAACCTCTGAACTGTAATTATGCCTTTTAATTAGTCTATTATTGCAAAGAAAATGCTGTGAGCCAAAACACTTCACTCTTCTAGTTAGTAAAATTATATTAAAAAAAATAAATCCTAGGGTAACAGCATCACTATTATTTTTACATTTTTGTTTGGTTTATGACTAATATTACAGTCGTACAAAAAAGGAGAATTGTTTCATAAATATATGTTAACCCATTTTAATTCTTTCAACATTTCAAGTAGCTTTGCTGAACCAATGTAATAAAACAAACCCGAGAGCTGTTTCCTTAATTTATTAGAGAATAACAGAAGAGTTCTGTGACTTAACGATACAAATTTACATTAATTAATCCTGCCTTTCACAGCAGGAGGACGTCTCAAAGTACTTAACAGCACTAGGACTAATATTTTCACAGAACGTAACAAACCCACAGAAATTAATTTTGCAAATCTGTGATAAAATATGTGTAAACTTTGAAAGCTACAGAGCTAAAGAGGAGACTAACAACTAAGGTCCTTTTAAAACTTTAAGAAGTACAATATTTTTTCAGTGTTCTTTAGTTTCATGATTAAAAAGTGAGTCACAATAACAATAATCCTTGCATTTGATATAGAATCTATTGAGACATCTCGAAATTCTTCACAGAATATACTGTAAAGTGAACTGGCTATATTTTGTGGGTGAAACTTGGCAGCAAATTGTGCAGTCATGGATTGAGTGACCAAATTATTATTATTATTTTCAATGGGATTATTACCCCTGGAAAAGTGATCCACCAATCGACTCGCAACTGGATTCCTACTTACTGCTCGGTAAACAGCGGCATGTGTGCGTAGAAAGGAAACTTGCCCAATGTTTTGTGCTCGGGAATCAAACCCAGGACCTCTCACTTGCGAGGTAAGTGCTCTAACCACTAAGCCACAGGACTGCATATAGCTTCATTGTATTACAAGTTTGCGGTGAATTGATAGGAGGTGAATTAATATCCTCGGAGAAAGACACAAAACTTGGGGTGTTTTAATGCTGAGTGTATGTATACATTCGTAATTAGGAATATTAATAAACCATGTCTCAATTTATGTAACCAGTGTTCACCTTTCAAAGAAAATGAAAGTGAAACTTTACCGAACGAGGGGAGAGAATTGTAAAGTTAAACCTAACTCGGTTAAAAATTAAATCGTGCTGCTGTTAGTGAAACATTTCCGAAGTGTTTCAGAGAGAGCTGGACACTCGAGGGAGGTCAAGCTTTTAAGAGAAATGGAGAATGACTTAAAAAAAATTGATTTACAAATATATACATTCAAAAATCCAAAAGGCTGGATCCGTTCAAATTGTCCAGACTGAGGTGCAGATGTTTGTCAGGTCAGGGTATCACGGGATATGGGGCAAAGGCGGGCAATTAGAGTTGAGGTACAGATCAGCCACGATCCTATAGAATGATAGAACAGGCTTGAGGGGCTGAAGGGCCTACTCCTGTTCCTATTTGTTTAGAGCTGTAATGTGAATTATTTTACACAAACCTCAAAGGCCTTTTTACATTATAATTATTACCCTGTTCTACGTTCCTATAAAGCGTTGCCACAATCTAATTAAGCTAATACAGACTTGATTGGCAGATTCACTTGATCTAGGGTTAAGCAGATGCGACAACAAGACACTACAGGAGAAACATCCGGTAACTTGTTACACCTGAAAAAGTAGCAAAGGCAATCATACGATTTAATATGTAAAACTATTTTCAACGTAAAGATCAAGGGACATTCCTGGATAAAAATTATAGCAGGTAATCTAGAGGAAGATAATTGTGCTTGGGATAGCTTTCAATCTATTATAACAACATTCAGAGAGAACTTTACAAAATAATCAATAAGTGTTAGACATTTACAAAAGTTATTTGTTTAGTTGTTTCTGTGCAAAAATAAAGGTTTATTCCCATCCACACATGGATTTTGCTTCATAATACTGCATTATTTTTGAAAGTTCTTTTTCTACCTGAACACCTTCATTTTCCAGTTTACTTTGCAACTGTTGAAATAAAGACAGGAATAAGTTGATTACAATAGGATACATTACAAAAACATAATAATAATAAGCCTTGCATTTGCTCTAGTGCCTCATCAACAACAACAAAATTACATTTGATACAGCGCCTCAGACATCTCAAAGGGCTTCATAGCATATACTGTAAAGTTGATTGACTGTGTATTGCCAATTGTGCACTTGGGACGTCCTTCCGGCGTGAAAGCACTATACAAATGTAATTTGTTCTTGTTGTTGAGAAAGAGTCCTTTCAAGACACTGGTATGGTTCCTCGGCTAATCTGCATCTCCTTTTTTTCACAGGAGGTAACCAGCTCAATCTAAACTATAAACATAAGTAAACATAAATACTCCACACAGATGTGGATACATAACCAGAAATCCTACTAAAACCGTAGAAACATATGAGCTACAGAAAATGACTGTTCCCTTACCTGACCGAGATACCTCTTGATGTATTTCCCAATTTCTTCCATTGCAGCATGTTCTTTAAATTCATTTTCATGTTTCTGAAAGAAAGTGAACAACACCGTGTAAACATTTGTTCCCTGGGTCAGTTTATTTCTCAACGGCCACTATTCTTTGTGGAAAAGTCTATCCTCCTGGGGGTGTAGGGGTGGGGGGTGGGAGGGAAGCAGAGTCTCCTTGGGGCTGAACTGGCTCCAAGGTGACATTCCTGGCAACAAAATGTGGGAATCGAGCCCCCCCCACCTCGTGCCGGTCGGTCTCTAGCCCCCGGTTCCTGAGCCAGGAGGGGCCGCAGTGACCCAGGGCTATCACTGCTGATGGCAGCACAGTCCGGCCCGGCCCATCAGCAGGACCTGGAAGGGTCGACCAGTCACTGGGGGCCGGGAATCCTCCCCCTCAGCTCCTGGTAACCCCACAGCCAAAGCCCTCACTAGCGGGGAGGGGGGTCCGAGCTGGACAAGCAGTGGGAAAGCTTGCTTGCTTGTGGAAAAGTGATTAAGCAATGGTGACATGTTGTAACAAAGTAATTGTCATTACCCTCGATTCCTCAGTCAGAAAGTTCTCCAGCTCCTCTCTGGACAGTGCTGGGGCCTCAGCAATTTGCTTGAAGTAGATTTTCACTTCATCCTTGTAGTGTGGGATGTCTCTGGCATACAAGACTTTGTTTGTTGGAGAGTGCTAAAGGCAGAACAACACTGTCCATCAAAGCCATTCAAGCACATGTTCAATACAGTACTGATCTTACCAGTTATCACAGATAACTGGAGGTTAATTGTATATGTACTCTAAGAATATAAAGCAATGAATGAGAAAAGACTTTTCCTACGATTTAGTAGCTTTGATCTATTGCATTGATCTATTGAACGAAAATAACTTTTAAGTAAAACATAGCAACGTGAGCATAGCATTTTGCTGCGATGTATGTTGGACTTAAACACTGCAGATCAATCATAATAAATGTATTATAATGTTTCGACCACAAAACATACAGTCAATTCATTTTACGGTATATTCTCTGAAGTTCTCTGAGACGTCTTGAAGATGTTACAAGGCTCTATTTCAAATGCAAGGATTATTATTATTACTTTAATATTAGTAATTTGTCAACATCATTGGGCGAGTTAGAATCATGAGAATACTGCCAGTTCAGAGAAACAGGAGCCTGTGGAGATCTGTAGGCACAAAGCAGTAATTGTGTGTCTTTCTCTCTGTTTGATTCAGGAAGAAAATAGCCTGGAAGTTAGCACAATGTATAATTGCTTTGTCAGTATTATTGCAATCATTCTCACCACAGGACATTGCCATTGGCCAACTCCATTGCTGGATAAAATCACATTAATTGCGGCAATCACTTGGTTTCCATGGTCATTTTGTATAATGCAGTGATAATGATGCTGACATCAGTATCTTCAGCAACAACTGTGACCCAACTCTTGCATCAGCTATATACTCCTCATCTCAATAGTGTTGTGGTTAGAAGTGCTCACTCCTAAGACACGCATTTTATTAATAATAATTATTATCCTTGCTTTTACAAATGTAGTTTTGTTGTTGTGGTTGCATTTGATAATAATAATAATAATAATATAATAATAATAATAATCCTTGCATTTGATATAGCGCTTTTCACGTCGGGAGGACGTCCCAAAGCGCTTCACAGAACACACTGTAAAGTGAATTGACTGTATATTTGTGGGCGAACGCGGCAGCCAATTGCGCACAGCAATGTCCCACAAACAGTCGTAGATTGAAAATGACCAATTTATTATTGTTTTTGGTTTTGGAGGGATTATTATTAGGCTCTGTGTGGAGTAAGGAAACTTGCCCAAGGTTTCGCCCTCTGCCTGGAATTGAACTCAGGTCTCTCACTTGCAAAGCGAGTGCTCTAACCACTGAGCTACAGGACTCCACTTGATGCAGCGCCTTATCACGTCATTGAGCTGTCTCACAGCGCTTCACAGAATATACTGTGAAGCGGATTGCCTGTGTGTTTTTTGGGCAAAACGCGGCAGCCAATTGCACACGGCAGCGTCCCCACAAACAGTTGTGGATTGAGTGACAATTTATTTTTGAAGAAATTATTGTCTCCAGAAAAACGATCTGCCAATCGTCTTAACAACCAGGTTCCTGTTTACTGCTGGTACACAGAGGCGGGTGAATGTGTTTAAAATTATGAATGATTTGATAAAGTGGACAAAAATAGTCTGTTTCCACTTGTCGGTGAGTGAGTCCAAGACATACGATAGCCAGCAGCAAATCTAAAAAAGAGTTCAGGGGGAACTTCTTTCTGCAGGGGTGTGGTGAGAACGCAGGAGTCACGTAGCTCGGTGGTTAGAGGACTTGCCCCTCTGCCGACAGGAAACAAAACGCAAAACACTGCAGATGCTGGAAATCTGAAACAAAAACAGAAGTGGCCGCGAACACTCAGCAGGTCAGGCAGCATCTACCGAGAGAAGAAAGTGAGTCAACGTTTCGGGTCCACGACCCTTTGTCAGAATTCAAGAGGACCTGGGTTTGATTCCCAGGCAGAGCAAAACCTTAAGCAAGTTTCCTTACTCCATTATTATTATTATTATTATTATTATTATTATAATAATAGCATGTGGAACTCACTGAGAGCTCACCTCTTTAATCTCTCTTGGGAACATTTAGGTTGGAAAGCTGTGGTTGAAACAGAAAGCATCAATGTATTTAAAACAAAACTCGATGCACACACGAGCGAGAGTGAAACAAGGATATAGCAGAGAGGATCAGCAGGTGAAGACTCATATGGCTAATAATAATAATAATAATAATAATCCTTGCATTTGATATGTTACGGTACAGCGTTGGTTGAGACTTGGCAGCTGAGAATTGAGCTTCTGGGTCGAGAACCTTTATGTGTCATGGCAATGTCTGAGAAACAGAAATGGGAAAAAAAATGCACGAACTAATTTATCTGCAAATAGAAATCTAAATAAATGAGCATTACCTTCCCGAGCTTCTGTGATGATAACGAAAAGGAATCCATGAATGCCTGTGCAATGACAGACAGACAGCTGTCTAAATGTGGGGTCTTTTCCATGTCGAACACAAACTGGGGGTTTTTAATGATGTTCACCCAGAACCGCAGAGGAAGGCTGAGGGCAAAAGAGGAGGCGTGATTTTAACACAAGCATCCATTCAATAATAATCCTTGCATTTGATATAGCGCCTTATCATGTCTTCGAGATGTCACAAAGCGCTTCACAGAATATATTGTAAAGTGTAGAGACTATGTTTTGTGGGTGAAATGCGTCAGCCAATTGCTCACAGCAGCGTCCCACAAACAGTCGTGGATTGAGTGACCAAATTATTACTATTATTATTGTTCAAGAGATTATTACCCCAGGAAAGCGTTCCACCAATCCATGAACGGCTGGGTTCCTACTTACTGCTAAATAAACAGGAGTATAGAGTGAGGAAACTTGCCTAAGGTTTCGCCCCGACCGGGAATCAAACCCTAGTCCTCTCACTGGTGAGGGAAGTGTACTAACCAACAACAACAACAACAAAACTACCACTACCCAACAAGGCTCCAAATTGATGCAGAAACCTTACTTGATATTAAACTGCTTTGATAAAGGACGATCAAAACATAAAATCAGTGAAATTCAATACCTGTTAGTCTTCCATATGTGTAAGACATCAGGGTCAGTTATCTTCTTGTTCTGGGCCTGTGTATGTAGGAAGTCAAAGAGGAACTTTATGGCCACGGGAGGCTTGTTGTTTGGTAACGTCCAAATGCTTTTAAGAAATCTCTCAACAAAAGAGTGAAGTGCAACCTGTAACACACAGCAACACAGCAAATCAGATATAAATAATCCTAAATCATTTCAATCTCAATACTGTATGTAAATCATAGAATCTTACAGCACAGAAGGAGGCCATTCGGCCTATTGAGCCTGTGGGGGTTGTTTGAAAGAGTTACCATAGAACCGGCACAGGCAACGATGGGCCAAATAGCCTCCTTCTGTGCTGTAAGGTTTTATGAAATACACTTTTTTTTTTAAATGCTAATTCTCCTACTTATTGACTCTATTCACAAGGATCAATTATATATTATATATATATGTATAATTGATCCTTGTGAATAGTCAGTAACTAGGAGATTGGTGAAAGTGGCACATAATGTAATTAAATAAGAAATCAATTAGACTGATATTCTAAATTATTCATGTTCTTATTGGATATAGTATATAGCTTGGGACATGATGAAATGTATGAGCGACTGCCAGGATGGTGGAAGCTGAACTGGTCTTCTTTTAACCAGCGATTCTTAAGTGCAAATTAATTCCAAAAATACGTTGAGTTTCAATTTTATTCCTGATTCCACTTCTGTCTTCATCTGATTGCATTTCCTCTTTTGCACTAAGAGCCACTCACCCAAGTCACATATCCTCTTTGTGTGAGTTCCTCAGTGTTTCTCTAACTGACCGTTGATAGCAGAAGATCTCCTTTCCTCTCCCCCAAAGAGCCAAACTGCAATAGCATTACCATCCCCTCCACAGCAGCCTGGCTATGACCTAATGAAACTCCTCACAAGGTGACAGATTGTAAAATTGCTCTGAATCAACAGCTCATAGACTGTTAGACATAAGAACATATAAGAATTGTTAGACAAAAGAAGACAAAGGTCCATCCAGTTCGCCTTCCACCATCCTGGCATTATTATTATAATTATTATCCTGGCAGTCACTTGCACATGTCGTGTCCCAGACTATATACTGTATCCCCAGGTATTATTTCCTAACAGAATCCATCTCATTTGTTCTTGAAAGAATTGACACTTTCTGCTTTCACCGTCTCCCCAGGGAGCCTGTTCCATCCGTTTACTACTCACTCACTCACTCACTCAAATAGTGCTTCTGCAGATTTGTTCTGAATTTACTTCCCTTCAAACATATCCAAACCCAACTAAGAATTCCCCACATCCCCCCCTACATGTGGAAAGATAGATTGTTGGAATTGAATGTGCTCTCTCTCTCTCTCTCCCTGGAGGGACCCATCCTGCTTACCCTGCCAAGGCTCTTACAATAACCAAACAACAACAACAACTTACATTTATATATCACCGCTCATGCGGGCAGCGTCTTAAAATGATAAGGAGTATAAAGACGCTAATTTGTTGTATCTGACTCAGTCAATCACTGTAAAGAAATAAGCACTGTACCTTAGACGACAGCAGCTTTGTTAGGTACATCTCTTTGACCTTGAACTTCTCTTTGCCTTGATCTTGTTTAGAGGTTTCTGTGAAGTTGTATTCTTGAGAAATCTAAGGGAAATATGGTCACAAAACATTCACTGAGTTGCTTGTTCATATCAACTGAAATATAATATGAAAAACAAACATACACACACATATACACACACATACACACAGACACAGACACACACACACACACACACACACACACATATACACACACATAAACACAGACACACACACACATATACACACACATACAAGTCCTGGAGTCCTGTAGCTCAGTGGTTAGAGCACTTGCTTTGCAAGCAAGCAAGACACCTGGGTTCAATTCCAGGCAGGGCGAAACCTTGGGCAAGTTTCCTTACTCCACACGCCTAATAATAATCCCTCCAAAAACCCAAAACAATAATAAATTGGTCATTTTCAATCTACGACTGTTTGTGGGACATTGCTGTGCGCAATTGGCTGCCGCGTTCGCCCACAAAATATACAGTCAATTCACTTTACAGTATATTCTGTGAAGCGCTTTGGGACGTCCTCCCGACGTGAAAAGCGCTATATCAAATGCAAGGATTATTATACACACAGACACACACATACACACAGACACACACACACACACATACACATACCCTTACAATACAATACAAAATTACGTTTATATATAGTGCCTTTCACGTGGGGAGGATGTCCCAAGGCGCTGGGAACTTGGGATGTACATACGCACACATTACACACACACTCACCAGATGGACATGGTTATCTATATCTTCAGAATCTAGAATAGATGGAAAAGAATACGATATGAAGAGATTTATGTGATTTAACATTTGCATGAATTTTTGGGGGTTCAGACGGGTGTCTGACACACACGGAAACCCATCACCGTCGCTTAAGAGTCTCCAAACCAAACTGAGAATTCCATACATCTCACCCACACATGGAAATCCCAGAGAGAGATTATTATGTAATTATGTAATGATTAATAACAATAAATAATGAAATACCATTACCTGCTGTTGTACAACCGGCACATTTGATGACAGTCACGTTAGCCGTGTCTGAAATCTGAATATGTATTGACAAATTAATTATTTATTCAATCCAACAAATTTCCACCTAATCTTAACCTGCGAAACTTTTTGTCTTAAAATTTAACATCTCACAGAATTGTTGGAAGATTCTTCAACTCAGTATCAATATTAAGGATTGCAGGAAACCGGCTTCCAAATTAATAATAATAATAATAATCCCTGTATTTGATACAGCGCCTTATCACGTCTTCGAGACGTCTCAAAGCGCTTCGCAGGATATACTGTAAAGTGAATTGACTGTATGTTTTGTGGGCAAAACATGGCAGCCAACTGCGCACTGCAGCGTCCCACAAACAGTCCTGGATTGAGTCACCAATTTTTTTTAAAAGGGATTATTACCCGCAGAAAGCAATCCACCAATCGATTAACAACCGGAGGTCCTCTGGCTTGCGAGGCGAGTTATTTAACCACTACCCTACAGGCCGCCACGAATGTTGTTTCAAAAGTAGTAATCATAATAATCCTCGCATTTGATAAATGAAAATGTTCACAAAATCCACAAAGTCCTCTATTCCCACACTCAAACTCTATTCAGCTCCCAGGGAAAAAAATTATTTTCTGCCAAATAAAATTATTTAATGCCAAAACCAAACAGATAGTTTGGGGATTAAATAATTTTATTTGGCAGAAAATTATCCTGCAGATAGTTTTGTTTAGCAAAACTAACAGAAAAACCCAGGCTTCAGTCACCTTATAATGGCCAATGGTGTTTAATTTCTTCAAACCATTTTCAAGAACATGTGATGACTCATCAATATCTCTCAGTATCCGGTGTGTTTCATTCTTATCCAGTTCTAGAAAGAAAAACTAAATGTATTTGTAAAATAAAACTTCAGGAAACAACAACCACCCCAGCGCCCCTCACACAGGGTAGCGTCCCAGAGGGGAACACGGTTGTTAAGCGATTTGAATGTGCATTTTGTGGGTAAAACGTGGCATCCAAAGTAAACAGAGACATGTGGAGTAAGGAAACTTGCCTAAGGTTTTGCTCTGCCCGGGAATCGAACTCGGGTCCTCTAGCGAGGCGAGGGCTCTAACTAATAGCCACAGGACTCTGCGAGAACAGAAGAGAACACAATAAGAACATAACTCACGCAGGTCAATGTCCTTTGTATGAAATTTCTGCGAGTGGCCGTATTTGTTCATAAATGCATCAAAAATCTTCTCCTTTGTTTGGCCTATCGTGTCGCAATCCAGAACCTCAACTGAGAGAGGTGGGTTGTCATCTAGATCACAGTCACCTGCGTCAGTGGTGATCAGATTAAATACATTGAGTTTCTGTAAGGAGAAAAGTGAGGTAAGTCGGGTAAGCTCTAGGAAACAACGACAGCAACAACAACAAATGACATTTACCTTTCATGTTGGGAGGAAGTACCAAGCTTCCAAAGTACCAAACCCCTACAGTCAGGGATTTGGACTCGAGCTGGGGGTTGGGATCAGGAGGGGTGGAGGGTGGGGGTAGGAGAGTGGCCGAAGGCGCTGTCAAGGGGAGAGTCTTGAGACGGGCCTTGAAGGAGGGAAGGGAGGGGGCGAGGCGAAGGGACTGTGGGATGGAGTTCCAAAGGGTGGGGGCAGAGAGGCTGAAGGCCTGACCGCCGATGGTGGGGTGGCGCTGGCTGGGAGACGTGGAGCAGGCCAGAGCCTGCTGTGCGGAGGGAGCGGACAGGTCGGTGTGGGGTTAGCAGGTCACAGAGGGCTTTGAAGGCGAGGACAAGGATTCAACAACAACAACTTGCATTTAGATAGCGCCCCTCACCAGGGCAGAGCCCCAGAGCGCTTCAAATTTCATAAATGGACTATTTACACATTAATCAAATTTCAGAAATGGACTATTTACACCTTAATGCATCACCTGCAAACAGAAAGCACAGTTTTCAGGAAGAATTTGCTGAGTTTAAGAAACATAATAATAATAATCTTTGCAACTGATATATGCAATATACTGTAAAGTGGATTAACTGTATATCTTGTGGGCAAAACACAGCAGCCAATTGCGTAAAGTAGTGTCCCACAAATAAGATGAAGTGAAGTATATTATACATTACACCAATGTTTAACCAAATGATGTGAAACTGATAAAGTAGAAAAAGGAACTTTGGCCAAGAACTAGCAACTAGCATGTAATCACGAACACAACCAACATTAAACCATTAAACCAAGGAGACGAAGAAAGCAGAAACAGGTTGCACTTGATGTAAATAGAATTTGCAGTTCTGAGTGTTCATTGGGGGGCAGTGAATCCTCCCCCTCAGCTCCTGTTAACCCTACAAGCCATAGCTTTAATGGGGCTTACACTGCGCCTTTCACATTGTGAGGACGTCCCAAGGCGCTGGTCAGGGATTTGGACCCGAGCTGGGGGTTGGGATCAGGAGGGGTGGAGGGCAGCGAGGGTGGGGGTAGGAGGGTGGCTGAAGGCGCGGTCGAAGAGGAGGGTCTTGAGAGGAGGCGAGGGAGGAAGAGAGGTGAAGGGACTGTGGGATGGAGTTCCAAAGAGTGAGGGGGCAGAGAGGCTGAAAGCCCGGCCACCGATGGAGGGCAGGGATGTGGAGCAGGCCGGGGCCCACTGAGCGGGAGGGAGTCAAATAATACGCATGAATCCAGTAATTTATAAATAGCATCAGCTGTATATTACGCCTGTGATATGCTATTTGCTGTTACTTCCCCTAAATTGCATCTGGTTGCAAACTGGAGCTCTCTGCAAATATAACTCTGGTTATAAGAGGAACAAGAGTATGAGTAATTGTGCTCAGATGGTCAAGCTGGAAGATATGACTGTCACATCCAGGACAAAGCCCTTCAGTTACCAGTTGAATGACACATTGATTCGAGAGGTGCAGTCAACCATTATTTTCACTAAGGATAAAGATCTATATCAATTGCAAGGATTACTGTTATTATTATAATTATTAATAAAACCTTATGAAGGTGATATCTTGCACTCCTGGAGCCTCTGGTACATTGGGGGTAATAATCCCCAATAATAATAATAATTTGGTCACTCGACCCACGGCTGTTTGTGGGGACGCTGCTGTGCACAATTGGCTGCCGCGTTTCGCCCACAACATACACAGTTACTACACTTTACAGTATATTCCGTGAAGCACTTTGAGATGTCTCAATGACGTGATCAGGCACAGTATCAAATGCAAGGATTATTGTTATTATAAAATCAGATAATCCATCACAGAGTGAAGCTGACACATTACACTACACTAACTGCACACCTGCTGGAAAAAAAGTCACATACATGTCACATGTAAGTAACATCAGCAGTACAGTACGTTGAACGTTTGATTATTAAAAAAGTTATTTCCGCTCGTGTTTTATGGCGAGTCACCACTGTACGTACCACTGTGTTAAATTCTGACACCTGCCACAGCAACCAATCTTCATTGAGGGTGTACAGAGCTTTCCCAGTGACTGCGTCCACTGGTCCTTGATTAATCCTCTGCTTTATCGCAGACACCAGTGAAAACAATGATTCCCCAACAGTTTCCTGCAGTTGGGAACATGTCAAGCCTTCTTATGAAAATAAAGAAAAGAATCCAACACACCGACAACTTGCATTTACACCGCGCCCGTCACACAGAGCGCTGACAGTGGCGGAGCACGACACTGAGCCGGGGGGCGGGGACCGTAAACAGGGTCGAAGAGGAAGGTCCTCAGGCGTGACCTGGAGATATGGAAAGAAGGGGCAAGGCCGAGGGATAGAGGGAGAGTGTTTTAGAGTTTGGGGGCGTAGTGGCTGAAGTGGCGTAGTGGCCACCGATGGTGGAATGGAGGGGACGAGGAACAAGCAGGAGGCCGGAGTCTGCTGAGTGGAGGGAGTGGACAGGTTGATATGGGGTTAGCAGGTCACAGAGGCACAAAGGAGTGAGGCCGTGGAGGGCTTTGAAGGTGAGAACGAGGATTTTGAACTCTATCCCCTGGGGGATGGGGAGCCAGTGGAGGGTGGGGGTGATGGGGGTCACGGAGCCTGGTGCGGGAGAGGACACGACTGCAGAGTTCTGGATGTAGAGGGAAGAGTTGGGAAGACTGACAAGCGTAGTTGAGTCTGGGTGCATTACACTCCACTGAAAGGCATTCGGAGACCTTACCCTCAGATACCCGTACATACAGATGGACACCCAGTTTGTCAGCAGCTTCTCCACCACCGTCTCTGTACGACGCAACAAGAGCTTTGGCTGAGCTCCCGCCTGGTCCATCAGGTCTGTGAGGAGATGCTCGAGCACAGCTGTCAGATAGATCAGCTCACTGTGAAGCGCAATGCTCAGGAAAGATGCAAAGCTGCAGCTGTTGGAAGAAAGACAAACATTTGGTAATTCGGTGCTTAGAAATGATTTGAAAGCAGGATTACTACTTAAAACAACACTCTTTGAGATATTTTTCAAGTGGTGCTTATTGTGAGTAAAATATTTATACTATGACTGAGAACCAGAGGACACAGATTTAAGATAATTGGCAAAAATAACCAGAGGGGAGACCAGACGAGGGGAAATGTTTTTACCCAGAGAGTTCTTACAGTCTGGAATGCACTGCCTGACAGGCTGGTGGAAGCAGATTCAATAATAACTTTCAAAAGGGAATTGGACAGGGACTTGAAAAGGAATAATGTGCAGAGCTGTGGGGTAAGAGCGGGGCAGTGGGGCTAGTTGGGGTAAGAGCGGGGCAGTGGGGCTAGTTGGGGTAAGAGCGGGGCAGTGGGGCTAGTTGGTAGCTCTTTCACTGAGCCAGCACAGCCATGATGGGCTGAATGGCCTCCTTCTGTGCTGCACAATTCTATGATTCTACAATTCTATGACTAGTAGAACAGAAACAGATATAAGATTGGATCTGTGTGCCAATATACAGTCACAACACATGACAGCAATTAACTACTAAGTGCATTGAGACATTATAGGTGTTCTATCAAGTGGAAGGATTATTATTATCATTAGGGAACAATACAAGGATTATTGCTGTTATTATTATCATTAGGGAATATTACAAGCTCCCAAACTATCCTTTAACCAATGACGGTAACTCTACAGAAGCAAACAGAATGTCTGGCCACTGACCGGTCTTTTATTGAGAAGCTTTTCTGTTGTTCGAGAGTGTGGATTAATATCACCAGAAGCTGTTTGTTGCGTAGGAAGTCAGACAGTGCCCTGAATCCCTCATTCTGACTGTGATTAGTAGACGACTGAAATGAGTTAAAAGACGATAAAGGAATCAGAGTAACTCGCTTGTACATTCACACTGAATTAGTGTGATGCTGTATTGTGGAGTCCTGTAGCTCAGTGGTTAGAGGGCTTGTATCGCAAGCGAGAGGACCTGTGTTTCCGGGCAGGGCAAAACCTAGAGCAAGATTCCTCACTCCACACGCCTCTGTTTACCTAACAGCAAGTAGGAACCCGGTTGGTTGATTGATTGGTCGATCACTTTCCAGAGGTAATAATCTCTCAAAAAAAATCTTTCCAAAAAAAAACATTCAATCCACGACTGTTTGTGGGACACTGCTGTGCACAATTGGCTGCCCACAAAATATAGTCACGACATTTTACAGTATATTCTGTGAAGCACTTTGAGACGTCTTGAAGACGTGATAAATAATAATAATAATCCTTGCATTTGATATAGCGCTTTTCACGTCGGGAGGACGTCCCAAAGCGCTTCACAGAACACACTGTAAAGTGAATTGACTGTATATTTGTGGGCGAACGCGGCAGCCAATTGCGCACAGCAATGTCCCACAAACAGTCGTAGATTGAAAATGACCAATTTATTATTGTTTTTGGTTTTGGAGGATTATTATTAGGCTCTGTGTGGAGTAAGGAAACTTGCCCAAGGTTTCGCCCTCTGCCTGGAATTGAACTCAGGTCTCTCGCTTGCAAGGCGAGTGCTCTAACCACTGAGCTACAGGACTCCACAAAGAGCTGTATCAAATGCAAGGATTATTATTATTAATACTATTTCATTACCTTTAGGTTGAAGAGAAAAGAGAAAATGTATCACGGATCAAATGCATTCTTCTATATCTAGATGTGGCATTACACTTTATAGACAATAATAAATAATCCTTGCAATTGATATAGTGCCTTATTACGTCTTCAAGACGTCTCAAAGTGCTTCACAGAATATACTGCAAAGTGGATTGACTATATTTGTGGGCAAAACAAAAAAGAAAAATGATAATGGCCTCTGTTTGTCTGAACTATAATAATATAATAAATATAATATAATAATTTGTGCTATAGTTTGCGAGAATAGAAGGCCAATTCTCCTGGCGAACAATCTCCCAGATAAAATTGGTCATACACCTTCATGGCTGTTTGTAGGACATTGCCCAAATTGGCTGCTACATTTGCTTGCAAACACAGTAAATCATGTGAGGCACCATGAGACATCTAGACAGCATGACGCAAACATTATTATGATATGACTTCCTCGTCTGTGTTGGAGACACGTTAATCCAAACAATGTTTGATGCAGAATAACCAAAGTAAAAGTCCTAAAAAATGCTTAATATTAACAATCCTCGCATTTCATACTGCACCTTATCATGGCGCTGAGATGTCTCAAAGCGATTCACAGAATATACTGTGAGTGCCCAATTGCGCACAGCAATGGCCCAAAAACAGACATGGATTTTTTTACCCCTGAAAAAATCCGCTAATTGACTAACGACCGGGTTCCTACTCACTGCTGGTAAACAGAGGCGCGTGGAGTAAGGAAATTTGCTGAAAGTTTTGCCCTGCCCGGAATCGAACCCAGGTCTCTCGCTTGCGAGGGGAGGGCTCTAACCACTACACGACTGAGTTAACATAGGTACAAATATCACACAATACTTACTAGCGGGGCCGTAACAATGAGGTCCTTGACAGCAATCTGTGTATTTGATTCAAGTCCACTCTACCAGAAGATATTAAACAGATCAACATAACAAATAGTAACACAGGAGTTTAAAACTACAACAAGAACAACAGCGACAATAACTTGCATTTATATAGACCGTAGTCGCGGTCGAAGAGGAAAAACAAAACAAAATAAAGTTGTAGTGGCTGAAAGCACGGTGGGCAAGAGGGACATGCCGGAGTCCCGGAGCCAGTCGAGTGGAGGAAAAATCCTTAATTCAATATTTAATTTGGAAGCTGGTAAAGTTTAAGAACTGTAGAAACTAGCGTGCAAATTCACTGGATTTAAAAAGGGACTACAATTCTGCACTATATTAAATTTTAAGACAAACGGCCTCTGAACAGATAAGAATCATTATCTTTTATATTATATTTTAAGGACTGTGGTCTTAAAATATTAAGCGATATCGCTCTGAAGAGTCTAAAAATCAAGAGCTATAACTGTGAAATAAGGTTTCACCTCAGAAGGAAAATATGTCCTTAAAGCAAAATGCTTGTAATCCAGAAAGGGGATAGTTCCGGAATTTTCTATCAGATGTACGTCCGAGCCTTCTGTCTGGAGTTCCACAAAACCTGGCAGAAGTAGAAAAAAATGGTTGCTTTGGAACAATTCTAATTTAAATGTATTCAACTCGTGGAGTCCTGTAGCTCTGTGGTTAGAGCCCTCGCCTCGCAAGCGAGAGGACCTGGGTTCGGTTCTCGGGCAGAGCGAAACCTTAGGCAAGTTTCCTTACTCCACACACCTCTATTGACCCAGCGGTCAGTGGGAACCCGGTTGTTAGACGATTGGCGAATCGCTTTTGGAGGGGTAATAATTCCCTTCAAAAAATAATTTGGTTACTCAATCCACGACTGTTTGTGGGACACTGCTGTGTCAGTTGGCTGTTGTGTTTCACCCACAAAATATACAGTCGATCTGCTTTACATTAAATCCCATGAAGCGCTTTGAGACGGCTGAACAACGTGATAAAGCGCTACGTCAGTTACAAGGATAATTATTATTATTATTATTATTATTATATTCCAATTTCAGGTGTTAGGATCTTTCAAGTTCCTGCCAGAAACCATTGTAATGATCAGTTTATGTCACCAGAACATTGTCGGCCACATTGCAACAACAACAACAACAACTTGCATTTACACAGCGCCCCTCACGTGGGGTAGAGTCCCGGAGCGCTTGACAGTGGCGGAGCCTGACCCTGAGCCGGGGGGAGAGGTGACTGCAAGCACCATCACAAAGGAAGGTCTTTGGGTGGGATTTGAAGGCGGGGAGGGAGGGGGCGAGGCCCTCGGAGGGATTGGGGGAGAGAGTTCCACGGTTTCGGGGTGTAGTGACTGAAGGCACGGCCACCGAGGGGACGAGGGACAAATCACAATAGCAATGTGAGAAAGCCAGTCCGCACATCTGCTGAGTGAAGCTGTTATACCATCGGAAGCACTTCCGCAGCCGGTACCAGGAACTGCACAAACTCAGCCAAGTGTGCAGCCCGGCCCTTCCTCAGGGACCCACGACTCCAAATGCATTTGTTGAGTTTTGCAGTAAAACAATGTCCTCATTTGGTTTTGCTCCCAAAATAACTCACTGGTTGTAACATGTCACAATCCTTATGTTTGTGTTCCAGCCACTGAAGCCCATCCACCGTCACCTTAAACAGTGTCTTCTCTGAGCTGAACTGGCCCCAGGGTGACATTCCTGGCAACGGAATGTGGGAATCGAGCCCCCCCCCTCTGTGCCGGTCTCTCGTCCGGTTCCTGAGCCTGGAGGGGCCGCAGTGTCCCAGGGCACAGTCCGGCCCGACTCATCAGCGGGACCTGGAAGGGCCGACCAGTCACTGGGGGCAGGGAATCCTCCCCCTCAGCTCCTGGTAACCCCACAGCCAAAGCCCTAACTAACGGGGAGGGGGATCCTGACTGGACAAGCAGCGGGAAAGCTTGGAAGATTATAATCTGGAACGGTGGGAACAATAGGATATCAGATTAAATATTACTATTATGGATTATTATTATTATTAAAGTTACCTTCTCGCATCTTATTTCGATATTGACTCTCCAGCAGTTCAATCTGAGTATCCAATGTCTTTGAGAACTGTTTTTGTTTGCGACTGGAAGCCCAGCAGTAAACTGTGAACATGGAAAAGCTCACCGGTTAGAACCTTCACGAAACCAGCAAAAACAACAACATCATCACAAATCACACGCAAAATAAACAAACCGAACACCACTAAATCGCAACAATCTCTCACTGCGTCATGTCCGAATTACTGAGCGGGAAGAGGGGTGGAGAGGCCAAGTGTGTGTTGGGGGTAACTGGTGGAGTCTAACCAGCTCAACCCACACAGCTTGGCCATTGATATCACTGTCTGGTCAGCTTCCCGCTGCTTGTCCAGCCAGGACCACCCTATCCATTGGGCTTTGGCTGCGGGGTTAACAGGAGCTGAGGGGGAGGATTCCCTGCCCTCAATGATGTAGAAAACGCACTACTTACTGCCAATGAATATCACCAGCATAACGGGAATCGCAATCAGCATGAAAAAGATATTATTTGAACTTTTGTTTTTCAGTAAGAAGTTAAACTCTCCGATGTTCACCTAAAATAAAATTAAATACAGTATCAAAACTCAAACATTTGTTTTAACAACTTAGATTCTGCATTTTGTTGTAGGTGTTGTTGTTGAGATGAAAAATTCCCACCACTAGTAACTCCTCATCTGAATATATGTTTTATACTGGATGAATGAGCACATTTCCTTTTGGTCAGCCGGGTGTCTGACACACGCGGAAACCCATCACAATATAGCCCAGTGTCCTGGTTGCCCTGTTTAGCACCAGCTCATACTGTTTTGACCTGATGATCGATCAATCAAGTAAAATGCAATACAAACACAGAAGTAACACCCCTAGATCTCTCAGCTCCCCATCCATGGAGTCCCATAGCTCAGTGGTTAGAGCACTGGCCTCGCAAATGAGAGGACCTGGGTTTGAATCCTGGGCGGGGCGGGGCAGGACAGGGTGAAACCTTAGGTAAGTTTCCTTACCCCACACACCTCTCTTTACCTGGCAGTAAGTAGGAACCTGGTTGTTAGTTGATTGGCAGATCGCTTTTCTGGGGGTAACAATCCCTTAAAATTTAATAATAATAATAATAATTTGGTCACTCGATCCCCGACTGTTTGTGAGATGCTGCTGTGTGCAATTGGCTGCCGTGTTTTGCCCACAAAATATACAGTCAATTCACAATATATCCTGTCAAGAGCTTTGAGACGTCTCAAAGACGTGATAAGGCTCCATATCCAATGCAACGATTATTATTAATTTGCCAGATATCAGCCCACGTGCATCTATCAAGCTCTTTATAAAACCTTTGTAGCCTCCTCTGGTTCCACAGTTCCCGCAACACTTCAGCCCATTGTTCATCTGCTTTACTTAAATCTTCCCGATCGCGCAGTGTGTAAGCCACTGACTGCTCCACGTACCCCCTCCCGCCCCACCCCACCATCAGTGGTCGGGCCTTCAGCCTCTCTGCCCCCACCATTTGGAACTCCATCCCACAGTCCCTTCGCCTCGCTCCCTTCCCTCCTTCAAGGCCCGTCTCAGACCCTCCTCTTCAACAGCGCCTTCGATCACCCGCCTACCCCCACCCTCCCTGCCTTCCACCCCTCCTGATCCCTACCCTCAGCTCAGGTCCAAACCCCTGCCTGTCCAGCGCCTTGGATGTCCTCCCGATGTGAGAGGTTCTGTGCAAATGTCATTGTTGTTATTGACTGTGAAACTGCAGAACCATAGAAGTTGAGGCTCAAACTCTGGTGCGTGAGGAGTCAGCTGCCCTTGCCAAGCAGAGAGCTGGCACTGATGTCAGTGCCCGTGCGCTCGGGAGGGTAAACACCAAACCAGGGTTCCTCCTGCTACCTGTACCTCATTGATCCTGGTGCAATACATGTGTGAATAGCTTTCGAGATAAGATTAGGCCGTCATAATGTACCCCTTCAACCAGGAAACCAATATGTAGCTTCTGATCTTACAAACCCTCCTCAGAAATTGGGGGTCAAGAATAAATAAATAAATAAATAAATAAATAAATAAATAAATAAATGAATGAAGTAATAATAATAATTTGGCCCCTCAATCCACGACTGTTTGTGGGACATTGCTGTGCACAATTGGCTGCTGTGTTTCACCCACAAATATACAATCAATTCACTTTGCAGTATATTCTGTGAAGCGCTGTGAGGGGTCTTGAAGACGTGATAAGGCGCGATATCAAATGCCAGATTATTATTATCAGTAGTAGTAGTTGAAGGGAAAGCAAGTCAAGTCAAAATGCTGTGGTTGGGTAATTATTCTTATTTATTATTATTATTTACTTGTTGATAGCATGAAAACAATGTATTCACATTTTTATCGTAAACTTAATTGTTATAAGAACATAAGAAGTCCGAGATCCAGTTATAATTTGATCTTTTTTCCTTTTTAAAGATTTATGGCAATGTTTCTCCATCAGAACTGGGCCATTTTCTACTTACTTTTATGTGGTGCACTGAAATCTTAAATTGTTTGGATGAACACTTGATCTTATCTTCTGAAATCTCTGTAATATTACATGGAAACCTTCTACCCTCCCTGTCCAGGATGTGCATCACTATTTCTTCAGGTTGAAGATTTAAATTATCTTTTGATTTCTGTAAAACAAATGTATAGATTTTGAAAACAGAGAAGCAGGTATATATATATATATATATATATACACACACACAAACACCTATATATATATATATATATATATACACTTATGATAAAAAAATCTTGGGAATAACACTGTCACTTTTTAATTTGTTGAGTGGATCTGGAGACCTGTAGCTCAGTGGTTAGACACTCGTCTCGCAAGCGAGAGGACCTGGGTTTGATTCCCGGGCAGAGTAAAATCTTGGACAAGTTTCCTCTGTTTACCTAGCAATAAGTAGGAACCCGGTAGTTAGTTGATTGGCGATTTGCTTTTCCGGGGTAATAATCCCTTCAAAACCAAAAACAATAATAAATTGGTCATTTTCAATCTACGACTGTTTGTGGGACATTGCTGTGCGCAATTGGCTGCCGCGTTCGCCCACAAATATACAGTCAATTCACTTTACAGTGTGTTCTGTGAAGCGCTTTGGGACGTCCTCCCGACGTGAAAAGCGCTATATCAAATGCAAGGATTATTATTATTATAATTATTATTATTATTTTTAAAAAATGACATTCAATCCACGACTGCTAGTGGGACGCTGCTGTACTCAATTGTCTGCTGCGTTTCGCCCACAAAATACAGAGTCAATTTACGATACAGTATATTCTGTTAAGCGCTTTGAGACGTCTCAAAGACGCGATAAGGCGCTTTTTCAAATGCGAGGATTATTATTATTATAATAATTATTATTATATGAAAAAGAATGTTTTACCTTTACCATAATTACAAGTTCTGTATCGTGGATTTCTGTAAATTTATAAAACGTAGGGTCAGCGTAGTAACTTAAGTTAAACTCCTTGATGGAATGATTACCAATTAGAAAAGATACAGTGCACAGATTCATTCTGTTTGGTACTGATTTGCAAATCCAGGCTGAATTATTATAACGTAAGCAATCCTGTGAAAAGAAATGGCACAAGTTGTTAATAGATTGATCAAAACAAGCAAAAGACTTAACATATATCCTCTACAGGTTTCAGATGTAAGTAGATTTAATTTTTTCTTTCATTCCACAATAAAGTTCAATTCAAGGAGTCCAGTAGTGTAGTGGGCAGAGCTCTCGCCTCATAAGCGGAGGACCTGAGTTTGATTCCCAGGCAGGGCAAACCTTAGGCAAGTTTCCTTACCCAACAGTAAGTAGGAACTGGTTGTTAGTCGATTGGCAGATCACTTTCCAAAGGTAATAATCCTCCCCCAAAAATTGGTCACTCAATCCATGACTGTTTGTGGGACACTGCTGTGCACAATTGGCTGCCGCGTTTCACTCACAAGTATACAGTAAATTCACTTTACAATATATTGTGATGGGCTTTGAGACGTCGCAACGATATGATAAAGCACCATGTTAAATGCAAGGATTATTATTAATATGATATAACTTCAATAAAGTTTGTTTGAATGAATGAACTTACATTTGTTATCTTCAATTCCTTTGTCTGCATGTGCAGTTTATCTATCACATCTAAATTGCGGCCGGTCACTGTGATATTGCGGCCACCGCTGTTCAGTACAAATCAGAAAAGATATTCACCATTATTTTTCATCACCGATGTGCTGAGAGGCACACAATCATTCGCAGAATGTTCCTGTTTACTCTTACTGGATAAAGGGACCATCAGGGCCTTTAGCCTCCCTTCCTCCCTCCCTTCCCTCCTTCAAGGCACGTCTCAAGACCCTCCACTTGGACCACACCTTCAGTCACCCTCCATCCCTCCCCTTCCCCCCCCCACCTCCACCCCTCCTGATCCCAACCCCCAGCTCGGGTTTAAATCCCTGACTGTCCAGTGCCTTGGGACATCTCGTGTTGTCAGAGCATCGGGTGTGTAAAGTGTATTATAGTTTTAAAACCAGATGAAATCAAACACCCACCTGGCCCAGGACACTGTTGGATAAATCTGTGTAATCAAGACATCACTGATGTATGTGAGAATCGATGTCCTATTACTTGTGCACGAGTTTCCATACTGTTCAGCGTCATACAATAAGCACACTTTCTTCAATCCCTTTGTGGTGATCGGTAACTCACACGTGACTAATTTGCTGCTCTCAATAGTACAGTCGTTCACTCTGGGAGAGATGATGAAAAGAAAACATATTCATCAGTTTCCCGCTCAGACAAGCTATCTTCTCTTAAAAAATATATTTTTTTTGGATTCAGGTGAGAGCTGTCAGTCTTGAGAGACAGATCACTATTACCGTTAGCATTTGATATCCCACAAAGCAGTGGAGTCCTGTAGCTCAGTGGTTAGAGCACTCGCTTTGCAAGTGAGAGACCTGAGTTCAATTCCAGGCAGAGGGCCAAACCTTGGGCAAGTTTCCTTACTCCACACAGAGCCTAATAATAATCCCTCCAAAACCCCAAAACAATAATAAATTGGTCATTTTCAATCTACGACTGTTTGTGGGACATTGCTGTGCGCAATTGGCTGCCGCGTTCGCCCACAAATATACAGTCAATTCACTTTACAGTGTGTTCTGTGAAGCGCTTTGGGATGTCCTCCCGACGTGAAAAGTGCTATATCAAATGCAAGGATTATTATTATTATTATTATTACATGTTAATAACATGTAGGACTTAAATGCTGAAGATTTGAGTGCTCTGTGAAACAATGTCCCTCTCTCTGCCAATAGACAAACTATCATCAATAAATAAGCTGTATGGCAGCCTGGTCACAACTGAACAAATTATCTGGAAGAGTTTAAGGATGACTTTCCTTTACTTACGTAAACTTTGTACCATCACTCATGTCCTCTATGTGAAGCATAGCCATAGCTCCGACATCTAAGTTAGCCCCAGAGATCTTCAATGTCCTCGTCTCCAGGATGGACACCCGGTCTGGAGTGATAGAGTCAATAACAGATACCTGCAGATCGAGGAGGGCATCCAGAATGATCGAGGGGATGGAGGGATTGGACCATGAGGAGCAAGTAGGTAAACTGGGCATGTTCACATTGGGGAAGAGAAGGTTGAGGGGCGACACGATGAAGTCAAACACACGCCTGGCACAGGGCACAGTTGGATGAATCTCTTTAATTAAGACTGCACTAATATATTTGAGTACCAATGTCAACAATAACAACTTGCCTTTACACAGCGCTGTTCACACGGGTTTGGATCACAGTGACAGTGACAGAGTCTGACCCTGAGCCGGGGGGAGAGGGAAGGGGGAGGTGACTGTAAGCACGATCAAAATGAAGGGAAGTGGGAGGGAGGGAGGGAGGGAGGAAGGGAGGGCGAGGCAGAGGGATTGAGGGAGAGAGTACCGATGTCTGTTTATTTGTACGTGTATTTCTTATTCTGCTATTTGCTTACTGCTCTTCTGTAACATAAGGATTTATTTGTTCTGTATATAAGAATAATATGAAGTACAGAGGAAGTTATACCAAAAATATGAAATACTCCATTCCACTCCTATTTCACAGAAATTGAACATTACTTCTGATATTTCAACTCATAGGAACATAGGAACAGGAGGAGGCCATTCTGCCCCTTGAGCCTGTTCCGCCATTCTATGAGATCATGGCTGATCTGTACCTCAACTCCAATTACCTGCCTTTGCCCCGTATCCCCTGATTACCTAGAATTACACAGAATATACGGCACAGAAACAGGCCATTCAGCCCAACCGGTCTACGCCGGTGTTTATGCTCTACATGAGCCTTCTCCTGCTCTTCCTCAACTAAGCCTATCAGCATAACCTGCTATTCCTTTCTCCCTCATGATGCCCTGACCTAACACATGTCTATCCTCCTCAGTGTTGAAGATGTGAATGGATCCAGCCGTAATGCACAGCCTTTTGTGGGGGAGAGTTCCAGATTTCCACTAGCCTTTGTGTGAAAACCTGCCTCCTGCCGGTCTTCACTGCTAAATGGCCCAACTCTAATTGTAAGATGATGCCCCAACTCAGTGATTTGGACTGAATCTTCCAACAACAACAACAACAACAACATTACATTTGTATAGCGCCTTTCAGGCTATCAACTAAAACTTGTGATTAAACATGAAACGTGCCTTACCTCACATTGCTTTCCCGAGGGGCAGAAAATGCAACTTTCATTCTGTGATTTGCAACTGTGAACTGTTACAATAATCATTTTAGTGCAATTTGAATGTCAACAACAACTTGCATTATATCGCGCCCCTCACCCAGGGTACTGTCCCAGAGCACTTGACCTTTTTTTATATAGCCTTATCTATCTGTGTAGCTATTTTTAGAGATTTGTGGATCTGAATCCCCAGATGTCTTTGCATTTATTCCTCCTAGGTTCCTTCTCTTTAGACTATAGATGGCTTCTTTGGTTTTCCTGCCAAATGAATCACTTTTACATTTGATGAGCCAAAAGAGCTTGCAACATCCAAACCAATCTTCTGTTCCTATGATCTTGTTAAATTCTAGTACAGTCCACATACAGTATCTACAAACCACATCTAACTGCTGTTAGAAACACAATGTGATCCTTTTTGCAGAGGAGCTATTAATACCCTAGTTTATTTTAGTAATTAAGAAGAACATAATGGTTGAACTTAGGGTAGAATTGAGATGTCTATTACCTGTGATGTTTTTCGGATTATCAATAAAATTGCTGGCGTGATTGGTGTGAACGACATTCACAGAAACGATCTTGCGTTGCTCCTGAAACTGAACCAGAAAATGTCATGAGTTTACAATGAGGCTTAATTTAGCAGATTAATCCACAGAGTCACTGCCTCTTGTAAGGCAATAACTAGCAATAACTAACTCAGACTGATCTGTGTTAGAATCATAGAATCTTACTGAGCCCATCGTGCCTGTGTCGACTCTTTGAAAGAGCTACCAACTGATCCCAAACCTCCGCTCTTACCCCACAGCCCTGCACAATCTTCCTTTTTAAGTCCCTATCCAGTTTCCTTTTGAAAGATCCTATCGAATCTGCTTCCACCAGTCTTTCAGGCAGCGCATTCCAGACCCTAACAACTCTCTGGGTAAAATGTTTTAGTCGGTTTCAATGGATGGGTTTTATTGAACACAGCACCACAATACCACAATAACTTTTTGCGATATTTCATTTCAATAGCACAATAACTTCTTGAGGTATTTCATTCTTCATTAATAACACACGCCAATCTTTGTAGAATATTTGTGAGATACTGGGTGTGAAGTCTATGTAGAGACTGAACGGTGACAATGAAATAGAGCTGAATAAACTGCTGCATTGCGCACTCGTGTTTGGGTTATTCCAGAGACAAGGTATATAGTTATTGAAACTCAAACCACTGAAGCAACGTAACAAACTGTACTCACCGTAGGTATGTTACAGCGGATGGCAGAATTGTTAATCCATTTCCCAGCACTTAATGTTTCATCAAATTTACAGCTCAGGCTGATATTAGCGTCCTGTTGAAAACATTGCAGTCAACAACAACAACTTGCATTTATATTGTGGCCTCCACTCATGGCTGTGTGTGGGAATCTGCTCTACACAAATTGACTGCAGTTTGACTAGAATTACAGCTGATGCACTCAACACCAATTTTCTTTCATTAAAAAGAGTTCTGTCCCCAGGGAGACAGTGGAAGCAGAAAGTGTTGATTCTTTCAAAAGCAAATTGGACAGATTTATTTTAGGAATTAATATCTCGGGATACAATCCACAGTTTGGGACATGTCATGCGACTGCCAGGATGGTGGAGGGCAAACTGGATGGACTTTGGTCTTCTTTCGTCTAGCAATTCTTATGTACTTATACATATTTGACGTAGCACCTTATCATGTCTCTGTTTACCCATATCATACACTGTAAAGTGAATTGACTCTATATTTTGTGGATTTAATTTTTTTTAAGGGGGTTGGTAAAGGGGAAAGCAATTCACCAATCAACAACAACCGGGTTCCTATTTGCTGCGAGGTAAACAGAGGCGTGTGTGTGCAGTAAGGAAACTTGCCGAAGGTTTCGTCCTGCCCAGGAATCAAACCCTGTCCTCTCGCTTTCAAGGCGATTGCGCTAACCACTACACCAAAGACCATGAGGAATTTGAGATCTCCCGCTGTTTGACCTTACCTTTAGCAATGCCGAATGGCTCAGTAAAACATCAAGCTCTGTCCCTTCTGGTGAATAGGATTCTTTTTCAACCTGGGGACAAAACTGCTATAAAAATATAAATGAAAATGAATGTTTTAAAACGTTTCAAACTTGTGAACCTTTTTGATTTGAATACATACATCTGCAGCAGTAATAAGCTACCATCTTCCCCCTCACAATCTCCTGCCTAGAGTTGGTGATCATCATTAACACACCAACACACACAAATAGCCGGTAAACTCAAAATGGGGTTGAACTTGTGATTTTCCACTCACACATACACACACCCACACCACACGCACACACACAGAAATTATTGGGCCCTGAAGATTTCTGTGATATCAATCGTAAAGAAACAGTGCATTAAGTGGTTACAAATAAGTTGCTGCCTCAGTCCACCCAGTACAGTTCAAACCGCACCCAGATGACAGCACGGCCCGGCCCGGCCCATCAGCAGGACCTGGAAGGGCCGACCAGTCACTGGGGGCCGGGAATCCTCCCCCTCAGCTCCTGGTAACCCCACAGCCAAAGCCCTAATGGGGAGGGAGGTCCTCGCTGGACAAGCAGTGGAAAGCTGGCCGGACAGCGGTAAGAACAGTTTGTGACGGAGAATTCTGTTTTGTGCTTTTCTTAAATGTTTGTACAGGGGTGGGTTTATCCTGCCAGGGGCTGTGTGTCTCTTGGTAACCTTTGGTTGTTCACATGTCTCTCTCTCTCTGATGGAACATCACCTGGTCAGGATTCTGCAATGCATTGACTGTACACTGATGTTTGGCTGCTAACCAATGGCATCCAACGTCGCTGCACTCAGAGCATCTGGGGATAAAGGGAGGATTGGTTGTGACACGTAATTCTTTGACCTTGATTTCAGTCGTCTATTTCCTCATCCCCCTGCACTCCCTTACCCGCCCCCGCACCCTCCCACCCACCACCCCACCCCCACCAACCCCGGAGCCTGGTGAGGGCTGCAGAGCTCTGTCTAAACAGACTTTACAATCTTATAGAAGTACAGAAACAGGGATAGGCCATTCAGCCCCTCGAGCCTGTTCCGCCATTCTATTAGTTCATGGCTGATCTGTACCTCAACTCCAATTACCCCTTGGCCCCGTATCTGTTGACCCTGACCTTACCATTATAAGAGATCTTATAAACGCTCCACAGATTATAGATGGATGAGATGCATGGATTGACATATTTCTGTTAATCTAACACTAACCCACACAGAAGGTGACTATTGAGCAAATGATATTCCAAACTTACGGAGTATTGTGTTGAGCTGTTTTGATGTTATAACAGTTACGCAGAGTGACCTGCTTGGAGAGATTGAAGTGGCTAAATTGAATCAATGCCTCCACAATAATCGGGTCTGGAAAAAACAAATACAACTCAAAACAAGTCAAATTACTGAAGGTTAGTTACTGTGGCAAATTGCATTAGAAGATAAGAACATAAGAATTAGCTGGACAAAAGCAGATCAAGGACCTTCCTGTTGGCCTTCCACCATCCTGGCAATCACATGGCATGTCGTGTCCCACACTATAAACTGTATCCCCAGATATTATTTCCTGACAGAAATCCATCTCATTTGCTTTTGAACAAATCGACACATTCTGCTTCCACCGTCTTGTACATCAACAAATGGAAACGGTAGAAACTCTATAACGCAGCTTTCTAAAGATATCTTGTGATCGAATCATCAAATCTTACAGGACAGAAGGAGGCCATTCGGCCCGTTATGCCTCTTTGAAAGAGCTGCCAAATAGTCCCACTCCCCCCCTCCTGTGTGATCTTGGTATTCCAGAGTTGGCCTAACGAGATATTGTATGATAATAATAATAATAATAAGCCTTGCATTTGATTTAGCTCCTTATCACAGCTTCGAGACGTCTAAAGGCGCTTCACAGGATACACTGTAAAGTGAATTGACTGTATATTTTGTGAATGAAACATGGCAGCCAATTGCACACAGCAGCGTCCCACACACAGTTGTGGTTGAAGTGACCAAATTTATTTTTATTCCTAGTGAAGTGATTATAACCCCCAGGCAAGCGATCAGCCAATCGACTTAACAACCGGGTTCCTACTCACTGCTGGTAAACAGAGTCGTGTGGAGTAAGGAAACTTGCCCATCGTTTCGCCCCCCAACTGGGAATCGAACCCGGGTCCTCTCATGTTTGAGGTGAGTGCTCTAACCACTGAGCTACAGGACTCCATGTGATCTTATCATATGGCCAATGCTACACAGATGGGCCTCGCTTTGGTTCATGACGTACCTTGCTGATTTTCCAGCTGACTGTATTGATTTGTGGTCACATTGCAGGAACATCCATTGACATAACGACTTTGACATAATAATCCTTTGTTTCTGGACAATGTACAAGTAGCCTCTCCTCCAGTTGTAGCTGCATCAGGGACCTTTCCTTGTACAGTTACTGTAAACAGCTAGAAATACACGTCATAGCAAAGTGCAGTCGAGGAACATTAGGAAAATAATTGAACGATTTCAGTGTAGAGAATGTTATATCTAGTACCTTCATATTGTTGAATGAATAATCTATTGTTGAAGGTTTAATGTTTATCATTAGACAGCTGTCTTTCCCTTCGGAGATGCTAATCCAATTCCCTGATTTCACCACATTTTCGCATTCACTTTCAAAAGAGCACCTTGAACATGGAAAGTTTATATTAGGTCCACAGAACAGTATTATCCTTACAAAACACAAAACACTGCAGCTGCTGGAAATCTGAAAACGAAAGCAGGGATCGCTGGGAATACTCAGCAGGTCAGGCAGCATGGACCCGAAACACTGACTCACTTTCCTCTCTCCATAGATGCTGCCTGACCTGCTGAGTGTTCCCAGCAATCTCTGTTTTGTATTATCCTTGCATTTGATATCGCGCCTTATCATGTTTTCGAGACGTCTCAAAGAGCTTCACAGAATATACTGTAAAGTGAATTGATGGTGAATTTTGTGGGTGAAAGACGGCAGCCAATTGTGCACAGCAGCGTCCCACAAACAGTGGTGGATTGAGTGACCAAATTATTATTTTATTTATTTATTTGAAGGGATTATTAACCCCAGAAAAGCGATCTGCCAATCAACTAATAACCAGGTTCCTACTTACTGCTGGTAAACAGAGGTGTGTGGGGTAAGGAAACTTGCCTAAGGTTCTGCCCTCCATAGGAATCAAACCCAGGTTCTATCGCTTGTGAGGTGAGGGCTCTGACCACTGAGCTACAGGACTGAATTTCACAAAACATGTACAGACCTGCTGTGGAGATTACACCAGCCACAGGAGGGGTCTTGTGCAGATACACAATCCTGGCAGGAACGGTAACGGGCACAATCAGCCACCTTCAACCGAATCACCTGCACAGAAACACACCAAAGTTAGCAACAACAAGTTACATTTACACGGTGCCTTTCACGACGGGAGAACATTTCAAGGCGCTGGACAGTCAGGAATTTGGACCCAAGCTGGGGGATGGTATTAAGAGGGTGGAGGGCAGGGAGGGTGTGGGGGAGGAGAGTGACCGAAGGTACAGTTGAAGAGGAAGGTCTTGTGACCAGGAAGAAATCAGGAACCTGCAGACCTGTCAGCTTAACGTCAGTTGTAGGGAAAATACTGGAATCAATCATCAGTGACAGAGCGACTGAACACTTGGAGCTAGTCAAAGAGAGTCAACGTGGTTTGCGAAGGAAAGATGGTGTCTGAATAATCTAGTTGAATGTTTTGAGGAGGTCACTAAAATGGTGGATAAGAAAGTGTCTGTGGATGTCATTTATATGGACTTTCAGAGGCATTTGCTAAGGTTCCGTTCAAAAGATTATTAGCGAAAATGGAAGTGCATGGAGTCAAAGGTAACCTTGTGACATGGCTTGGTAATTGGTTAGGAGGCAGGAAACAGAGAGGAAGGATAACGGGAATGTTCTCTGATTGGCGGGACATCATAAGTGGTGTCCCCCAGAGGTCTGTACTGGGACCTCAGCTACTTGCCATACATATATATGTATATAAATGACTTGGATGAAGGAATAGAAAGTTGTATATCCAAGTTTGCAGATGACACTAAGATAGGAAGCTCAGTAAGCTGTGTCGATGGGAAGTTACAGAGGGACTTAGACAGATTAAGTGAGTGGGCAAAGCTGTGGCAGATGGAGTTCAATGCAGGGAAGTGTGAGGTCACCCACTATGGACCGAAAAAAATAAAAGGGTTAAGTTACGAGGAAAGGCTGCGTAAACTTGGATTGTATTCCCTCGAGTTTAGAAGATTGAGGGGGTATTTGATTGAGGAATTTACGATGATAAAGGGATTTGATAGGGTAGATACAGAGAAGCTATTTCCTCTGGTGGGGAATCCAAAACAAGGGGGAATAGTCTTAAAATTAGAACCAGGCCATTTAAGAGTGAAATCAGGAGCATCTTTTCACTCAAAGAGGGTTAGAAATCTGGAATTCTCTCCCCCAAAAGGCCGAGGATGCTGGATCCATCCACACCTTCAAGAGTGAGGTTGATGGATTGTTGGTAGGTCAGGGGATTGAGGGATATGGGGAGAAAGTGGGAAATAGGAATTGAAAGGATTAGTTGAGTTACAGATCAGCCATGATCTAAGTAAATGGCGGAACAGGCTCGAAGGGCTGAATGGCGTACTCCTGTTCCTATGGGATGGGCCTTGAAAGAGGCAAGGGAGGGCGTGAGGGGAAGGTACTGTGGGATGGAGTTCCAGAAGGTGGGGGCAGAGAGACTGAAGGCCTGACCGCCGATGGTGGGACAGGCTGGGTTGGGGATGTGAAGCAAGCCAGAGCCTGCTGAGCGGAGGTAGTGGACAGGTTGATATGGGAGCAGGAGTCATTAAACAAACTCTTGTTTGCACAATGTTTCCCATCCAGAACCTGCTTAACAGGAAGCACAAGTAACTAATTGCACAACAAAAATATTACAAATTGTGATATACTAACCACAGCAATTTTCCCACAAAATATACATTTTACATTATAATAATAATTATAGTAACAATAACCTTTGCATTTGATATATCGCCTTATCACATCTCCGAGATGTCTCAAAGCACTTCACAGATTATACGCCTAATAATAATCCCTCCAAAAAAAACAAAAACAATAATAAAAATTGGCCATTTTCAATCCACGACTGTTTGTGGGACATTGCTGTGCGCAATTGGCTGCCGCGTTCGCCCACAAATATACAGTCAATTCACTTTACAGTGTGTTCTGTGAAGCGCTTTGGGACGTCCTCCCGACGTGAAAAGCGCTATATCAAATGCAAGGATTATTACTATTATTGCTTGCGAAGCGAGAGCTGTAACCACTGAGCTACAGGAATCCCCGTACTTTTTGTACTCGTTGTCTATTAAACTCCCGAGTTCATTGCGTGCATCTTGAGTTCTCTTTGTTGGTCAACTTGTCCTCTAGTTCCTCACTTCCTCATGAATTTCTGGTCTCTCTTTCCTATTTTCAGCAGTTTCCATTTGCTGCAGGAACATTTCAGTCCAGCAGAACATCAGCAACCTCGCCACAACCACCCCTCCTGATAACCAGATCTAGTAATTCATCTAATCTATTCTAATCTCTTTAACCTTGTTTCCTGGGCAGGGCGAAACCTTAGGCAAGTTGGACCTCAGGCAAAATACAATACAAAATAAAAGTATGACAATCCTGTAATAAACTGTATAGAACAATATTTCAGTACCTCTTTGTCAGTCATCAGGTACAAATAGTTTGGATCCGTTTTGGGTTCAAACAATACTTTACGATGTAATGGGGTTTCCTCCTTTGTTTCAAAAAGAATCATTCGGGATTTCACCTTCATATTGTTGTCCATCACCAACTGCAAAAGAAAATGTCAGTAAATGTGCATATTGTGGAGTCCTGTAGCTCTGTGGTTAGAGCACTCGCCCGCAGGCGAGAGGACCCGAGTTCGATTCCAGGACAGGACAAAACCTTAGGCAAGTTTCCTTACAACAACAAAATACAACAACACAACAACAACAACAAAATTACATTTATAGAGCGCCTTTCACATCAGGAGAACTTCCCCACACGCCTCTGTTTACCAGCAGTAAATAAGAACCCAGTAGTTAGTCGGTCGGCAGATCATTCTTCTGGGGTAATAATCCCTTCAAAATAGTTTTTTTTAAATAATAATGTGGTCACTCAATCCACGGCTGTTTGTGGGGACGCTGCTGTGCGCAATTGGCTGCCGTGTTTTGCCCACAAAATACACAGTCACTACACTTTACAGTATATTCTGTGAATATTCTGCTTTGAGACGTCTCGAAGACGTGATAAGGCGCCGTATGAAATGCAAGGACTGTTTGTGGGACATTGCTGTGCGCAATTGGCTGCCACGTTCGCCCACAAATATACAGTCAATTCACTTTACAGTGTGTTCTGTGAAGCGCTTTGGGACGTCCTCCCGACGTGAAAAGCGCTATATCAAATGCAAGGATTATTATTATTATTATTATTTTGTGTGAGAGAATTTCACGGAATTTAAATACATATTAGTTTTAGAGTTAGTTTTACTAGTTTCATAAATAAAGTGAATTATTCATTAATATCGGTTCTGACCTTGATTAACTGTCCGTTTGCCGTGCCGAGAATGAAAACTGTCCAGTTTCGCACATTTATGGCTGATATGGACACCATCTCAGGATGAACAAAAACTGCTGTCTCCTCATTTGGTTGTAAGGGTTCTGAGCTTCGGACCTGCAAACAGAATTACTGTACATTAAAGTCACAAATGCTTGTACTATACTTTTAGTACTTTTTAAATTACTGCTATTTATTTCAACCCCAATAAATGGGCAAAACGTGATGTCCGGTCCTGGAGAAAGATAATTGGACAACACTGAATATCCACCTGTTCATCCATCAATCTAGATATACACGGCACATTGTAGATACAGTACGCTCGCAAGCCAGAGGGCCCAGGTTCGATTCCTGGCAGGACAAAACCTTACGCAAGTTTCCTTACTCCACACGCCTCTGTTTGTCTAGCAGTAAGTACGAGCCCTGTTGTTAGTCGATTGGTGGATTGCTTTCTGGGGGTAATAATCCTTTAAAATAATAATAATTTGGTCACTCAATCCACGACTGTTTGTGGGACATTGCTGTGCGCAATTGGCTGCCGCGTTCGCCCACAAATATACAGTCAATTCACTTTACAGTGTGTTCTGTGAAGCGCTTTGGGACGTCCTCCCGACGTGAAAAGCGCTATATCAAATGCAAGGATTATTATTATTATTATTATTATTATTGAGTGGGCTTTGGAGGAGGTGAGTCAAGGAACCAGTCAAAGGGACTGCAGGTTGGAGTTCCAGAGGGGGCTGCAGATACATTGAAAGCCCGGCCGCTGATGGTGGAGTGGGGGGGTGGGGAGGTGGTGAAGTGGGGGACATGAAGCAGTTAGGGAATGAGCGAGCAAAGGGAGTGACTGGGTTTTGTTGGTATTGAGGATCAACATTTCTATAGCGCCTCATCACGTCGAGACGTCACAAAGAGCTTCACAGGATATAGTGTAAAGTATTATTATTACAAAATACACAAAAAAGAACAAATATATATATACGTACTTCAGTTCCTGCGATTTTGAAATAGGAATTTTTCATGGGGCTTTTACCCTTGAGGCTGTTCAGGTTGTAGATGTAGAGAAGGGTGCTGTCAAACTCTCTCGGAGTATCTTTGTCTATGTGTAAGAACACTGTGGCCAGATAGGACAGCTGGCCCGGGAGTGAGATCAGGGCGCTGGACAGCAGTCTGAGCTGCAGCTTCTTGACGGTCAGAGAGACCTGATAAAAGGATTGCACTATCCCACGAGTTTGCTCATTGTTCACTGACATCTGTACCAGCTCGGGATTGGAATTGTTGATATTTAACAACATGTATATCATTGTTCCGGCCTGAAAACCGTCCACAAACTTCAAATCCATCCCGAGATCTTCCAGTGTGACCAGCTGCTCACCAAAGTTGAAATCGTAGCTCAAAAAGGGAGTGGTTTAGCATTCTTAATGTTCCTCACACTAATGATCATTTGCTCGTTGACCTGGTTATCGATGCATGGGGGAGTTGAGTATCTGCTGTCTTTCCTGATGTTGGTGATACCCACCGCTAGGTAAATGTTGCTGCCCGAGGTCACTAGAAAGGCTACAGCAGAGGCTTGGGGATGGACTGGGGAGATGAAGGTGAAGTTGTTGAGGGTGGCGTTGCTGATGTTAGTGTGAAGTCGGATTTCACAGCCTCCCCTACGAACCACTCCACAGGTCAGCACTTGCCCTTGATTGTCGTCGACCACCAGGATCTTGTTGACGTTGGTGGCCTCACAGCAGGACAGCCCTGGTGTACAGGGGCCGACAGAGACAGGACCGGTCTTTACAGACTCCTCCAACCCCAGGGTCTGGTTCAGCCGGTACATGTAGTTGTCTGTGGTCACATACACTCTGCCCGTCACTCCACTCAGGGCCATGTTATTGCCACGGTTGGGGAGTAAGAAATGTTCTGATGGGTGGATCCCCTTAGGAACAATGGCACAGAGAAAGAGACAACTGCACAAGACATGTACAGGCAGCGGGGAACCCATGGCTTTGGTTAACGTTGTTATGTTCTGACGGAGTCGACTCAATTACATCTTCCAAGTTCCCGATTGCTGCCAGTTGTGCTACTAACTTTAAGTAACTTGGGCTTTTTTTTTTGCTGCTCAAAACCATGTGTTTCCTTTTCCGTTTGTGGGTTTCCTCCTGGTTGTAAGGTTTTTTTTTTGGAGCTTCTGCTTTTGTCACTAGTTGCACGATTACTAGTTGTCAGGGCATGTTTGAATAGCCTTCAACTTACTTTTTCCCCGGCCTGTTTCTACCACACTAATCTCACTTTCAATATAGCACCAGGAGGAAAGACTGAGATGCCTTCAAAACAGGACAGTTGCCTTGTAAGTACAGGAGAAAATGTGACTGCGGTGGTTCAGGTGTTGGTCAGTCGGTGTCTGACACAGACGGAAAACCATCACTGTGCTTAAAGAGCATCCAAACCAAGCTGAGATTTTCACACATCCCACCTACAAAAACACACTGCTATCAAAGGGCTTGACTGGCAGATTGGGGTTGAATTGGCAGCGTTATTAATTTGGAAACACCTACACACGCGCTGCTGGTAGCTGTGTGAGAGGAGAATTGACTGGCAGATACACTAGTGCTGCTGTTGGCAGCAGAGGCAGTCACGCCCGGTGTGTTTATCTGTGTTAGGCTCACATTTCCGAATGTGGCAGTTGCTCTTTTTATGTCAACACTACCCCTCCTCAATCCACGACTGTCTGTGGAACGCTGCTGTGTGCAATTGGCTGCCGTGTTTCACCCCCAAAACATAAACTTCACAGTATATCCTGTGAAGCGCTTTGAGACGTCTCAACGACGCGATGAGGCGCTGCATCAAATGCAACGATTATTATTATTACCAGTAACAGTCTGCGATGGTGAACATGCGTTATCAGAGATAAGTCTCATCAAAACCTCACTCGCTCACTCCCTCAGATCTCCAATGATTTAGGATAAGATTGAATGCATTTGATATGGAACTTTAGAGTAAGGCGCGATATCAAGTGCCTATTACAGGAAACTTAGCCCATTAGCCCAATCTATTCAGACTTCTATAATCTTTCACAATCGTGTACTGTACTTAGAACCTCTTTGGGTCACACCATACAGTGCGCCTTTAGCGGAAGCTGACTAAATTCAAGTAAGAGGTTTGCAAATAATAATAAGCTTCAGCAAAATAATCATTTGGTTAGTGGCCCACCTCACAAGCGAGAGGACCCGGGTTCGATTCCTGGTCCGGGCGAAACCTTAGGCAACTTTCCTTAGGCAGTAAGTAGGAACCCACTTGTTAGTCAATTGGCAGATCTCTTTCCGGGGGTAATAATCCCTCAAAAAAAAACAAATTGGGCCAATCGTCCACAAAATACGCAGTCGCTACACTTTACAGGATATTCTGTGAAATGCTTTGAGACGTCTTGAAGACGTGGTGAGGCGCTGTAACAAATGCAAGGATTATTATTATTATTAATGTTTTGTCAATCTTATTTCTGGCTCATTAACGGGATTTGGACGGGATTTGGGTAGAGACAAAATATAAGTAATAATAACAGCAGAAGCTGGGATTGCAGACTTTTAGTCACAGCAGAGCATCACAATGCCAGCAGACACAGAGAATAATTTAATGTCCTCCATCGCCTCCTGCAAGGCATGACTCAAGAACCTCCTCTTCAACCACACCATCGGTCACCCTCCTACCCCCACCCTCCCTGCCCTCCACCCCTCCTGATCCCAACCCGCAGCTCAGGTCCCAATCCCTGACTGTCCAGTGCCTTTGGACGTCCTCACAACGTGAAAGGCGCCGTGTAAATGTCATTTTGTTTGTATTGTAATATGCAAATATGCCACCCTTCGACATTTAATAATAATAATCCTTGCATTTGGCGTAGCGCCTTATCCTGTCGTTGAGACGTCCCAAAACAATAAGAATATATCTGAATCTGAATTTTACCCCCCCAGAAAAATTGATCGTTCACCTCATTCACGGCTGTTTGTGGGACAATGTTATATACAAATTGGCTGCAGTATTTACCCACAAAATAGAACATTTCAACAAGGTGAAGAGTTTCTTTATCAAGCGCAAGGATTATTGTCATCTTTAGGTTGCCACCTAGTGGCTTTCTATATGCTTGGGAGCTTCTCCTGAATCTAAATGAACTATCGCCCCATGAAGATAACATAGCGCTTTGAGACGTCGTGAAGACGTTCCTAAGAGGTTGTATCAAATGCGAGGATCATTATTATTTGATGCAGCGCCTCATCACTTTGTTGAGACGTCTCAAAGCGCTTCACAGAATATACTGTAAAGTGAATTGACTGTATTTTGTGGGTGACACGCGACAGCACACACAATAGTCAATTCACTTTGTGAAACGTTTTCAGATGTCTCTCCTGTGAGATACGGCGATGTACAGTGTAAAATTTACTGTAAAGTGAATTGACTACATTTTGTGGGTGAAACACAGCAGCCAATTGCTCGCAGCAGCGTCCCACAAACAGTCGTGGATTGAAGTGACCAAATTATTATTTTAACACCAAACCTGAAAAAATCACGTGAAGCAGGTTATAGAATCCCCAGATCCCCGGGGTTGTAAATGCAACATTGAAAAATATTCCTAAATCTGCATTAATATTAAACATTTAAACCACTTTTTGCATTTTTTGGAGTCCTGTAGTTCAGTGGTTAGAGCACTCACCTCACAAGTGAGAGACCTGTGTTCGATTCCCAGCAGCGGAAACCTTGGGCAAGTTTCCTTACTCCAAACGCCTGATAATAATCCCTCAAGAAAAAAAATAGTTCCTTACTCCACTCGCCTCTGTTTACCAGCAGTCAGTAGGAACCCGGTTGTTAGTCGATTGGCAGATCACTTTCCGGGGGTAATAAACCCTTTTTAAAAACAAAACAAAAAAACTAAGATTGTTTCTTATGGACACAACGGGAGGTACAGAGTTGATCAAATCTTCACATTCTTGTCTAATTCTGGTGGAATAGTCGTCTTTGAACACCAAGGCTCCTTAACCATCTTATCGGAGTTTGCGAACTCATTGCCTAGTGGAGAGTTCCTTAAGCTGTTGTACCCAAATCTTTTTTAACCAACTGAGGTGGAAAAATATTGCTGGTAAATGATGGAAGTGTGAATCTGTCTTGATTTAGCAGGAGAAAGCTTGTCGGGCACCTGAGCTGTGACTTCTCTGCCGACAGGGAGATAACTTTGGTTGGAAGAGATTTTTTTGTTTGGTGTGGTGTAAGTGCGACTTGCTGTGCGAGAGTATAAGTTCCATTTAAACGGCACCAGCTGGGACAAGAATTAAAAGTCAAGGTAGCCACAAAACTAACAGCTCATTGCATAAAGGGCTTAACCCTCCAAGTGGCTGTGCAAATAGAGCACTGTTTTCCCAGCAGATGACCCGTAGAACGTTTCCAGGAACAGTAAGTGCCAAACCCATCAGCTGCTTTCTTGGAAATGTATTTGCTTTCGATATGGCTCTTCTCCAGAGCTGATATACAGAAGCATTAGACTGGGATAAAGTCTGGGTCTTGTGAGATTCAACTGGGTTTATTATTCTAAACAGGAATTGACTAAACTTGTAAACTTATAGAGTGCAGTCCTGTAGCTCAGTGGTTAGACACTCGCCTTGCAAGTGAGAGGACCTGGCTTTGATTGCCGGGCAGACAGGGCGAAACCTTAGATAAGTTTCCTTACTCCACACACACGCCTCTGTTTTCCCAGCAGTAAGTACGAACCCTGTTGTTAGCCGATTGGTGGATCGCTTTTCCGGAGTAATAATCCCTTTTAAAAAATAATGATGCGGTGACTCAATCCACCACCGTGTGTGGGACGCTGCTGTACGCAATTGGCTGCCGTGTTTTGCCCACAAAATATACAGTCAATTCACTTCACGTGATGAGGCGCTGTATCAAATGCAGGGATTATTATTATTAGAATTCCCGAGGACAAAATCTTTCAGTTATTTATTCATTACTGTACTGTACTGCACTGTAAATCTTAGAATGAGTGGGTAAATATTAAATTTCTGTGTGTTCTGTTTTAAGCAACTAAATATTAACTTGTCATGACAGGAAATCTCAAACCATTTGGCTTTGTTGTGACCACAAAAATGTTTCCTAAACAAACCACCCTGAGTGAAATGTAGTTTGCAACCAAGTCACAGTGTGGAACAAAAGCTAAACAACAAACAATTCTGGTTATAAAAGAACGAGCAGTAAAACTAGTCTGTGCCGTCTGTCAGACACGTTTTGTACAGGAGTGAAACTATGATCCTTTAACTTTGCAGCCATGAAAAATCTACCCTTCAAATCCCTTTCTTTTAAAAATTGGTCACTGAATCCGCGACTGTTTGTGGGGCACTGCTGCGTGCAATTTCCATTAACAATCTCATTGCAATTTCCTGCCAGAGCACAGATGTGTTTTACTAAATGTTTGTACTCTGTTAGCACTTCAGTGAAATGTGACTAAGTGGTCATTTGTTATACTCTGACACAATATAAATAAAACCGTGACTTTTCCTGTCATCTTGTAGATAAAAATAAGCTGTTGGTATTTTAGCTCCTGCCAAGTTATACCGTATGTGGGTACGCACTGTTCTTCTCAGTAGAGCTCACACCGGAGGCGGAGTTGACTTGGCGCAGTTGGTAGGACTCTTGCCTATAGTTTCAGAAGGTACTTTGAATTCACGTCCTGGTCAGGAACTTCAGTGCTGGGGGAGTGCATGAGTCCTGCGTTTTCAGAGGCACCATCCTTCAGATGAGATGTTAACCTTGTGGAGTCCTTGGGGAGTAGTGTATTGTTTGGAGGCCTCGCAAGCGAGAGGACCCGGGGTTGATTGAGAAACACTGGCAAGTTTCCTCACTCCCCACACACGCCTCTGTTTACCCGCAGTCAGTAGGAACCCGGTTGTTAGTTGATTGGCGGATCGCTTTTCCGGGGGTAATAATCCCTTCAAAAAAAATGAATAAATAATAATGTCACTCAATCCACGGCTGTGTGTGGGACGCTGCTGTGCGCAATTGGCTGCCGCGTTTCACCCACAAAATACACAGTCAATTCTCTTGGCAGTATATTCTGTGAAGCGCTTTGAGACGTCTTGAAGACGTAATAAGACGCTATATCAAATGCAAAGATTATTATTATTATATATAAACTAAGGCTCTGTCTGTCTGTCTCTTCAGATTAACGTCAAAGATTCCATGACACTATTAAAAAGCCGAGGGTGTTTGTCTCTTGGTGTCCTGGCCAAAAAACCTCCAGATAATTTGGTTGTTCACTTTACTGCTGTTTGTGGGACTGCTGTGTGCAAATTGGCCACATTTGGCTGCCAACAAAATACACAGATACATTTGATTAAAGGAGCAATAACACTTATTATTGCTACTCTCTGCAAATCATTTTATGATGGACCACATGGCTTCCTCAAGTGAGGGGGGTGTGGGTGGGAGGAGGGAATAAATGAAGACATTTCAAAAGCATTTAAACATTTTGGGACCTACAGAAAGTGAGATGAGGAACAGTTTCAACACTGACGCCTGGTGCCTAATACTGGTACAACAACAACAACAACAACAACATTACATGTGTAAAGGCCTTTCACGTCGGGAGGACGTCCCACGGCGCTGAACAGACAGTGTTTCGGAGCTGAGCTGGGGGTCAGGATCGGGGAGGGTGACCGAAGGCACAGTCAAAGAGGAGGGTCTTGAGATGGGTCTTGAAGGTGGCGAGGGAGGGGGCGAGGTGGAGAGACTGTGGGAGGGAGTTCCAGAGGGTGGGGGAAGCGTGGCAGAAGGCCCACCTGCCAATGGTGGGGTGAGCGAGGCGGGGGACGTGAAGCAGCCTGGAGTGGAGGGAGCGAGCAAGTTGGTAGGGGGCTAGGAGGTCGGAGAGGTCATGGGGAGCAAAGCCATGGAGGGCTTTGAAGGTGAGGACCAGGATCTTGATCCCATCCTCTGTGTGATGGGAAGCCAGTGGAGTCGGGTGAGAATGGGTGTGATAGGGTCACGGAGCCCGGTGTGGGAGAGGATGGGGATGATAGGGTCACGGAGCCCGGTGTGGGAGAGGATGGGGGTGATGGGGTCACGGAGCCCGGTGGGGAGAGGATGGGGGGGATGGGGTCACGGAGCCCGGTGGGGGAGAGGATGGGGTGATGGGGTCACGGTGCCCGGTGGGAGAGGATGGGGGTGATAGGGTCACGGAGCCGGTGTGGGAGAGGATGGGGGTGATGGGGTCACGGAGCCCGGTGTGGGAGAGGATGGGGGGATGGGGTCACGGAGCCCGGTGTGGGAGAGGATGGGGGTGATGGGGTCACGGTGCCGCCCGGTGTGGGAGAGGATGGGGGTGATGGGGTCACGGAGCCCGGTGTGGGAGAGGATGGGGGTGATGGGGTCACGGAGCCCAGTGGGGGAGAGGATGGGGGTGATGGGGTCACGGTGCCCGGTGGGGGAGAGGACACGGGCTGCAGAGTTAGTTCGGGATGATCTGCAGTCTGTGGGGGAGGAGTTGGGGGCCGACAAGCAGCGAGTTTGCACAGTGGAGCCTGGATGCTATGTGTGTGTGAGGGTCTCGGGGGCTGCGGTGTGAGACAGTGGCGGAGTCGGGCGATGTTGCGGAGGTGGGGAAGGCAGAGTCATGGTGCAGATGTGGGGTAGAAAGGATAGTTGAGGGTCAAACCAGACCCCAAGGTTCGGGACCGGGTCAGGGAGGGGGAGTGAGCCCCAGGGATGGTGATGCTGTCAGCGCCTGAGGTGAGGAGGCGCTGATGGGAGCCAATCAGGAGCCTCGATCTTGTTGACATTCAACTGGAGAAAGTTGGCTCTCATCCAGGACTTGACGTCTGACAGATATTCCATCAGGACAGCAGTGGGTCCTGGAGTCAAGGGGGGGGTCAGAGGGAGAGTTGGGCGTCTGCAGATGATGTCACCAAGAGGGAGCACTTCGATGTTGAAGAGGAGGGGACCAAGGACAGAGCCCTGAGGATCACCGCACGAGATGGTGTGGGGGCTGGAGGGGAACCCTCTGTGGAGATGAAGTGCAGGGGTGTGAGAGGTACAATCTGAACCATGAGCCGTGAAGATTGAGGTGAGAGGAGAGGTGGTGGATGAGGATAAAGTGGTTGACTGTGTCGAAGGCAGCAGAGAGGTTAAGGAGGACGAGGGAGTGTACAAGAAAGAGTGAGAGAGCGAGAGAATAATAAATAATAATCTTGCATTTGGTATAGTGCTCTTCATGTCTTCGAACGTCTCAAAGCACTTCACAGATTATACAGAATGAATTGACTGTATATTTGTGGGCGGAACGCGGCAGCCAATTGTGCAGCGTCCCACAAACAGTCGTGGATTGAAGTGACCAATTTTATT